ATTAAAAAAAAAATCAGATGTCCATTACCATTTACCACCAAAAGAAAGCCCAATTTGTCCTGAAAAAAAACAAGGTATAATTCACCTGAGTACACAAAGTAGTTGTGAGGATGTGTACAGTTTTACTAGCATATGTCAAAGTGGCAAAAGTGTGTTTAGGGATTAACGTTTGTTTTACCCTCAGTCAGTAAGGGGTCAAGCACAGGCTGACTCTAACGTAGGAAGGATAGCAGAAGCACACAGCTCACTCACTAATGTCCTTATATTGTCTCCTTCCATCATCTTCCAAACACATTTACTGTGTAGTCTTCCGACCAGATCCCAGAAACAAGAAGTCCCTTAGTCAGCTCCAGCAGATTTCAGCCGAATAAGCCCCCCAGCTAGCACAGCTGGGACCTCGGTGAGCAGTAGAAAGCCCAGCTGGACTGCTCAGAAGGGCAGTAGCTCTTCAGGCTGGGATCTCCTCCTCCTAGACAAGAACCCCTCTGTTCCAAGCCTCAAGCCATTTATGTTCCCTTCCAGACACCTACTGGGCACACTCCTCCAGGGATTGGAATCTCAGCCTAATGCTTTCCAGGACCCTCCAGAAAACAGGGTGAAGCAGTCAATCCAGCAACCAGTGAGACTCAGAACAGCCAAAAAAAAAAAAGATTGGACCCCTGCAGGTTTAAATCATACTGTACTACATTATGACAGACTTACCCGGACAAGGAGCCCTCCAGTGCAGTGCAGTGCAGTCACGGCTCCTGGGCGCATCCATCTTCACCTGGTCTTCCTTCCAGGTTCATGGAATGGGGGGCCGCGATGACATCACTACTGTGCATGTGGCAGGAGCCCCGGCCCCGACATAGAGCTCTGAAGGTATGTTCCTTCAGAACGCGTGACGTCACTGACTTCATGCTGTGTGTATATCTCCTAAACAGTGTATATTTAGTAGATACTCACTGCACCTACAGGTAAGTCGTACTATAGGCCTTACTTATAGACATACAAGTTAAAGAGTGGACTTAATTCCACTTTAATCACAAGCAGATCAACTAATTACAGTGGAGCTAATAACCAAATTTACCTAACCTAGCACCTATCTAGGAGGGGGTGCTACACTAGATAGGGCACGAAGCGTCATTCTTAGATGTGGTTGATGTGTATTTTATCTATTCACTGCTATAAAGGTAATCTCTACCTATACCATACCATATAATTACTTATATTACTTTGAAACTTTTAAAAAGTATAATATCTTTCTGTTCATGCAAATTAACAAGTAATGAGCAACAGGATTGGTTGGATGGACCCCACCCTCCACATGTTAATACTGTACACATACAAGAACTGCTGCTGCGTTGTCAGTGTGTGATCAGAAGACGTCTCATTGAATTGCTGCAAATTTCTTTGTCTGGAGGTAGGATACAATTTTTAACGGAAGTATATATAAAATATTTCAAATGCTTTTAGTAGGAAACGTATCATGCCAGATTGCTAGGTTACCAGTGAACAAAAGAGCTTTCCACACTATTCTGCCACACAGGTTGTTATATAGGGGGCTACTTACTCCGTTCTTGTAGACATTATTGTGTGCAGCAGGGATACTAGTGTGTGTATATTCTTCTTTTCTACTGTTTGTATATAACATATTGGACAATTATATATCTGCATGTGTATGTTAATTGCCTTTAATAGATCTATTTATTTTGAATGTACAAATCATTTACAATATATCCCTGGTATAGCAAAGCTGTAAGTTGGCAATTTTATCCAGTTGATCCTACATGGCTCATCACGGGCACTCCCTGCTTTGTTGTTGAAATATTTTTCACTGTAATATCCCTCAGGATATAATGCAAGCGTGTCAGAATACAAAGCTGAATGACTGGGAATTAATTAATATACAGATGAAATACATATAAAAATACATAAATGGGATCTGTTTTCCTGGCCAAAGTATTTAATTTCTGTCCATCCAGTACTATGATTTACACAGCTCTATCACACACCACATTACTGGCTGTGCTAACACTTATGGATAGCTGCTAGAGACGACTTTTGGTGGGGCTGTATATTTCTGGGATGAAGGCATTTAACATCCTGGGAGTTTGTCAGTAATAGTGCCAGTCTGAAATTTGGATGCATATGACTGTTTTGATCTCTATCATATGAGATCATTGTAGTCCAGTAAGACGTTTGCCTTTTCTCTCAGGAGCACTTTGCAGCACAGGAGCACTTTAAATGAAGTTTTCCAGTATGGAGCACTTTTTTCACAATTGATTTCGGGACTTTTTCATCAGTTACTTATTCACTTGTATATATTGATGGTTATTTATATGTACTGTAATTGTCTGATATTACTTCTACCTAGTAAACCGCCATTTATTTCCCCCATCAGCTCATCCCCCACAGCTATTACCTTTTGTATCACTCAACCCTTCCTCCAAGATTGTAAGATCTAAGGAGCAGGGTCGTCTGTTTCCTCTTGTACCAAATTGTATTGTAAGTGTAATGTCCGCCTTCATTTTGTAAAGCACTGAGCAAATTGTTGGCACGATATAAATCCTGTATATTGGCAACTATCATTTAAAGAGACAGTGCACTATTTGGTTTATATTGTATCCCCTGGTGTCCTCTGTAGTTCCTCCTGCCAACCTCTGTATCACTGGTTCACTAGCTTGTGTCCAGTATACCCAAACTCTGTACACTGAGCTGTACTTGACATACTTGTAAATGCCCCTCTCTGTAAGCTGTGCCCCTGTAGCCACTGTTGGGTTGAATTACTAAAACCGGAGAGTGCAAAATCTGGTGCAGCCGTGCATGGTAGCCAATCAGCTTCTAACTTCAGCATGTTCAGTTAAGCTTTGACAAAAAAATCCTGGAAGCTGATTGGTTTCTGTGCAGAGCTGCACCAGATGTTTCACGCTCTAGTTTTAGTAAATCAAGCCCTGTGTGATTCCTTAATGCCCTGTTATAGCAGTGATCTCTAGCATGCTCATGCAACATGTCTCCAGCCTATGGTATTAAACCCAAAAAATGTATTATACTGCAGCTTACCAATCATTAGATATGGTGGCTGTATTAGTCTTCTTTTTTAGGCTTTTCCCCTCTGTTTTCACCTGGTGATCTGGCTAGTAGCACACCTCCTGTATTAGAGTGCCCCCACTCTGGATGAAGGAGCACCTTTGGATAGCAGCATTTTTAATCTTGGGGGCTGGGAGTGTTGGATGTATTAGGAAATTTAGATACCCTAACAAACTAAAGCCAAACTCCAGCTCACACTTTGTAGGAAGTTACAGTAAACATGTTTTAGCTTTTGGGATAAATGTTTTACATTAAATAAATAAAAGCTGATCATAGACCTACTGGCCAAATCAGCAGGTGGAAATAAAAGAAAAAAGCCTAAAAAAGAAACCATTGCAGCCACCACATTCAAGATTTGGTAAGCTGCAATGTAAAAAATGTTTTCTTTTGGGTTTAATACCACTCCTATAACAAGTTCACAGTCTCTGACAGTCTCCTGCAGCAAGCCCCCATCTCCTATATCATGACTGCAGTCTCTGAACATCTCCTGTACCATGGCCACCATCTCTGAACATCCTATGTTTCATGTTCACAGTCTCTGACCATCGCTTGTATCGTATTCACAGTCTCTATCTCTTGTATTGTGCTGAAGTTTCTGACCATCTCTGAAGTGCCTGCTATCTCTGACAATGAATATTCACATGGCCCCTTGGTGATGTTGAGGACTGCACTTGAGGCCCGGCAGTTCAAGGTATCAGCTGAATGTCTTGTTTCATAGTCTCTTTGACTATATCCAGTCTTGTATGTTTCTGTTTTCAATCTATGACACTTGAATATTCAGTCTCTGAATCTTTGTACTGTGGCTGAAGTCTCTGACCATCTCTTGTATGATGTTTGATCTTTGACTATAGGAATTTTATGTGTGCACTTGAGGCCACCCCACCCCAGTTCAAAGGGAGTTGACATCCACTGTCTTATAGGTTCATGCACATGGATGCATGCTCCAGTACAGAATAAACACGTTGGTGTATTTTGTGCTCGGGAGCTCCTAGTTCTGCAGCCACCCATAAACATGAATGATGGCAGGGGGTTGCTATTGCAGGTACGGAGCTATGCACCAATACTTGCATAAATCAGCATATGAACACAGGCATAAGTACCTGAAAGCAGAAAATCTGGGTTCTGAAACCTTCACCAGCAACCTTTCATGTCTATGGGCTGTTGTATGGATGCATTGAATGGATCTTTTTCATAAATAACCCCATGTCTAATCTATTGTCTACTGTGATCACACTATGAGGACTTAATATTTGTATGTGGCAATGGTTTGATATACTGTACAGCAGCCTTTTTCAACCAGGGTGCCCAGGCACCCTTGAGGTATCTTCAAGGGAGCCTTGGCAAAATGTCTAAATATTGCCCAAAACTTGTATACAAGCCAGCGGGTGGAACAAGCCTGCCTTTTATGAGGTCTTCAGCCTGCCTTACACTATGAGGACTTAATAAGCCTGCCTTATAGTGTGAGGACTTAATATTTGTATGTGGCAATAGTTTGATATACTGTACAGCAGCTTTTTTCAGCCAGGGTGCCTTGAGGTATTTTCAGGGGTGCCTTGGCAAAATATCTAAATATTGCCCAAAACTTGTATACAAGCCAGCAGGTGGAACAAGCCTGCCTTTTAGTTGCACAAAGCCACAGATTTTCATTGTGCACCATTACGACCTTCTAGCCACCGGCGTCCTGACAACCAATGATGTCACCAGTTGACATGGAGGATGTTGGTTACCTTCACAGCATCCTGGTTTGACCTTCCCCTGCCCTTCTCTGTTAGTGCTGGGGTCACATTAGCTGGTGGGAATAGAAACATTGGAATACTACTCAGTACCAGTGTGCAAAAGTGTATTTGCTTTGGAAGAATAAATCACCTCTAATGTTGGGTGTCCTACATGTGTGGATGTTGCTGCGTTATATAAAAGTATTAGAATAGTTTTTACATTTTAGAATGGGGTGCCTCAAGAATGTCCATAATATTAAAGGGTGCCTTGGGACTGTGCATAATTTTAAAGGGTGCCTCGGGACTGCTCATCATTTTAAAAGGTGCCTCAGGACTGTCCATAATTTTAAAGGGTGCCTTGGGACTGTCCATAATTTTAAAGGGTGCCTCGGGACTGTCCATCATTTTAAAAGGTGCCTCAGGACTGTCCATCAATTTAAAGGGTGCATCGGGACTGTCCATCATTTTAAAAGGTGCCTCAGGTGCCTCGAGGCTGTCCATCATTTTAAAAGGTGCCTGGGGACTGCATCATTTTAAAGTGTGCCTCGGGGCATCCATCATTTCAAAAGCTGCCTCGGGACTGTCCATAATTTTAAAGGGTGCCTCGGGACTGTTCATCAATCTAAAGAGTTCCCTCAGGACTGTCCATCACTTTAAAAGGTGCCTCGTGACTGTCCATCTTTTTAAAGGTTACCTTGACATTGTCCATAATTTTAAAGTGTGTCTGGACTGAAAAAAGGTTGAGAAACACAGCTGTAAAGTACAATGTTACATTCTGGTATTAAAGAGCTGTCTTTTGCAAGCTTCATCAGTTAGAGTCTATCTGATTGCGTTTCTTCTTCCCTGATATTGCTCCCCAAAAGTTGTTCACAGGTGTGGCTAGTGCATAAAGTATATATATATATAATTTTTTTTTTTACTGATGTATATTTGCATGAGGGATTATATGTACAGGACCACTGTTCACATGCCAATCTAGTTTTTGGCTGTGTTGTTTGACATTAATCACTGTTATTATCCAGTTGCCTAGGAATTAAATGCTCACTGTATGTCCACGCCAAGTGTGATGTCACTTCCAGGACTTAAAATAGAACTAAACCCATTGATTTAGCTGTTTGCCAAAATAGTTACATTAAAGTGTTACTAAACCCAGGACCCTGCTTTCACTATATCTGGTCTCCCATAGTATACATACCATGGAAGTGCAATTATTTTAGTAAATATAAACTAATAAATACATTTTCTTATCAGCAGTTGGAGCAGTCTTGTGACTTCTATCAGTGTCCAGAACAGCACTGGTTAAAGCTTGTAGGAGGAGTTTTCACATTCTCCTCTAGGAGGATGCAAAATCCCTGACCCTCTGTCTGGACAGTGTTGATTGGCCCTGTGCTGATCACATGCACCCTCCCAAGAAAAAAAACCCTCTGTAGCAATACACACCAAACTGATCATGTGCATGTGGCTACAGGTTCAGTCTGTCTTATCAAGAGATAAGACGTGGGACATTTGAATAAGAGGAGGGGCAGAGAAAACAGAATCAAATAGCTTTTTTACACAATGCAGAGGATTAACCACAGTAAGTATAACAAGCATTCTTTACTGCATATACAGACTGATTTTTACTGTTGTGGGATTAGTAACACTTTAAAGGCATGTCGTGAATGATAACTGTCACAGTTGTCTGTGCTCCCAACCAAATTGTGAAGCCATCAATTGGCTGATATCATAACTGATCAAGTGCAGCACCATGGCAACTGTGAATCAGAGTCTAATATGGCAGCTTCATTGGCTCTAAAGGATGGAAAGGTTTATTTCCCCTTTCATTTTGTATACTCACCTGGTTTCCTAGTAACAGTGACATTTTTTACTGTACATGCATGACGTCCCTAAGTTCCTTCTATCCACCATCTTTCAGCTAGTATGTACCCATAGCATCTTTCTAAACTTCCAGTAGTGCAGTTTTGTGTGCACTTGTTGGGCAGTTTTCTCACATCTGGTTAGGTTGCAGTAAGTCACGACTTGCGACCGGACCTCATGCTTAAAGAGGTTATAAAGCCTAAGCATTTTTTTACCTTATTGCATTCCTTGCATTAAAGTGATTGTAAACTTCAGACATGAAATATGAACAAAGCATATCCCTCTATAGTGTGTATTTGTTTCACACCAGAGCACTAAATGTAATTTCTCTGCTGCTTCATTCTTCTGCTATCAGCATGAATCACTCAAGTTTTCCTGACACTAAGAGAAGAATGGTGACAGTAAAGGGACCTCCAGCAGATTGACAGCCTCAGCTCTGTTCCTGTGAGCTATGTGAAAGGGGAGGGGGGGTGTGTAGTCCCTTCCCTCCAAGCAGACTCGGAGCTCTTCTCACAGCTCTGCAGCATGTAACATCTGCTCTCTGCCTCCTGCTTTCTGGAAGCTCAGACAAGCTTTATACATTCTGCACTTTCAACGGATGGTGAGATGAAGAGACTGCAGATAAACAGGTACAACTTTTGTAAGAGGATTTGTTTCATCTCTGTGTATCACCTGAGGTCAGTCACTTCACTAGGTATAAGTGAGGGTTTACAACCAGTTTAAGGTAAAAAAAATGTTTAGGCATTAGTATCCCCCCCCTTCCCCCTCTTACATACCCTCATTCGATCCAGCAATGTACCCATCAACGACTCTTCTCTCCCCTCACTTCTGGGTCTCACAGGGTTCGATGAGGCAGCAGTAGCCATTGGCTCCAGCTGCTGTCAATAAAAGCCAGTGACAAGGGAGCGGGGGGGTTAAGTCGAGTCCCACCGTGTGTGCCTATGGATGCAGGCAACAGGAATCAGGAGTGAACCTGCATGAGTGCCCCCATTGAAAGTGGCTTCCTATAGGGGTACTCGCTGGAGAGGAGGAGCCAGGAATGGGGGACTTGAGAAGAGAAGGATTGAGGCCAAACCTGTTTTTTTTTTTTAAATTCACATTTACAATCATTTCAAGGAGGATATACATGTTTTCACACAGACTTTATCTTTAACTACTTGAGTACCAGTCTGTAATACCCCTACATTAACAGGCCATTTTTCGGCTTTGGCACTATAATAGTTTGAAAGACGATTGCCCCATCATCCAAAGCTGTACAAAAATGAATTTTGTATAACTTGTTTGATGGTATTTAATAGCTGCTGAGTCTTTTTTTTTTATAAAACAAAAGCCAGAATCATATGAAAACCTCCTAAAATTACTCCCTTTTTGAAAAGCAGACACCCCAAAATGGTCTCATTTTATTTTCCACAAGTTTTTGGAAATTAAAACACATGCTGGCATTGAGGGAGTTAAACACGGGCCATGAGAATGGTGCACTGGATACATTAATGTACAGGTATACACAGAGGAAGGAGCTAATAAAGGGGTTAATGTACAGGTCACATACAGTGGCATCATAGAGATGAAGGAATGAAAAGTTCAGTTGTGCAAGGTAAGCAAGGGGTTAACATACAGGTCATGTAGAGACAGCATTGGAGATAATATATATAGGAGAAAAGGGGGCATGAAAGGGTAAAAAAAAAATTCCTGTATCACTGTAACAGAACAAAATGGATCAGCAGCAGGTGATTGGAGGGAAGGGAAACAGCCCCCTTCACACAACACACAGGAACAGAGCTGACCCTGACAATCATAGGCTGTGTGCTGGAGCTCCTCACCTGTCACCCTTTTCGCTCTTAGTGTCAGGAAAAAGAGTGAGAAGTGACAGATACAGATGGCAGAGGAAGGAGGCAGCAGGCAGAAAAGACACATTGGATTGAGTACACATTTTAGACAGATATGGTTTGTTCATATGTCTGAGGTTTATAACCAATTTAAATATAATATGTTACAACACCATATAAAGCATGGCCACCTCCTCAGAAAATATGCTTTACAACACTTTTGGTGAGGTTGTATTGCAGTAAAATAACAAATAAATGAATGAGAAGAAAAAATGTTTGTGAGGCTGGGTGCAAATGATCGAGTGGGCTGTATATGCATGTATATTTAGTAAGAAAACAGGAATACCTATAGTACAGTAACATGCAGTAGATACATAGTGCAAATTTATTCTACTTGAAACAGTTTTATAAACACTGCCTCATAGCTGAATACAACGCTATTACAATCAAGTTTGTAAATAAATTAATCTAGTAGACAAAATCCATATACAGTAGATATAAAAGCATATTCACATGGTTATACATGTCTGGTATAAAGAAATTCATACACTAACAAAGTAAACAAATAGGTGCATATTCCATATGAAGGTGCGGTTTAGCCATCAAACGCTTTAGACTAGGTTCACACCTATGCAGTTTGCGCTTGATCCATTGTGGTGCATTTTGTGTTTTTGCACATGCATTTTTGACGCGTTTTGCATTTTTTTCCAACTTGTTTCTGGTCAGATTAAAATGCATCAAAAACGAGTCAAATGTGCATCAAGAATGCAGTACACGTAGTGTCTCCATTGAAGTCTATTGAACCAAAAACGCAACGCTTTGCATTTAAAAAAGTCCCTGACCCTTTCCAAAAAACGCATTGGGTGAAAACGTGGAGATGTGAACCTGTCCCATAGAAAATCATGTTAAATGGACTGCTGTGCATTTCTGCAAAATGCAACGGAAGATGCATAGGTGTGAACCTAGACTTATGCAGTGTTTTCACACAAATTAACATTTTATGAAGATGTGAAATTTCATGACTGATTTCAACATTTTATTACCAGGTGGGCCTGCAGCATGAAACCAAGTGGGATTTTGGAGATATCTCCCTGCCATCTTGCTACATTATTACATTGCATTCGAAACTTGACAAGCATACAGTATAATCAATTCATTGACTGAAAATGGGAAAATAGAGAATTTCGAATGACCAAACATTTTTACTTTGTAGTTTTGTAACTTTTTTTTTTATGACTTACATATTTTTACATGCTTCATTTTCATTGTTTTTGTTATTGCATTAAAGTGTTATTAACCCACCACAATAAAATCAGTCTGTATATGCAGTAAAGCATGCTTGATATACTCACTGTGGAACCTAAGGGGTTAATCTTCTGCATTGTGTAAAAATGCTGTCTTCTCTGATCCTCCCCTTCTTTTACTGTGCCCAGTCCATCTATCATGGTACAGAGCAGCAGTGGCAAGTCTACACATACTCTGTTTGTGTATTGCTAGTTTTTTTTTTTGGGGGGGGGGGGGGGGTGGGGGGGTGCATGTGATCAGCATAGCACCAATCAACTCTGTCCTGACAGAGGTGCAAGGGTTATGCAGCCTCATAGGACAGTCAGAGACAAATGAAAACTCCTATAAGATTAACCATTGCTCAACCTCACACTGATAGATATCACAAGAGTGCTCTAACTGCTGATGAGAAATGGTATTTAGTAGTTCGTATTTACTAAAATAATTGCACTTCTATGTACTGTGGGAGACCAGATAGAATGAATGCAGGGTCCTTGGTTTAGTAACACATTCATACATTAGCCGTTTGAGGAGGTCTCAGTAAGGGCTCTTTCACAAACTCTGTGGAGTGGAGTGACCTCTAAGTAGCGATCAACATTCAGATTGCTTCTCAGAGAGAAATTGACAGTGAGGAATGTTTTATACTGCCTCTTTACTGTCTGAGAAAACCCTCAATTGCTGGACTACCATGCTGTAATTGCCCACATTGTACACGGTTGCTGTTCAGTCCATTTGCATTCAATGAAAGAGTTTGACAGGCGTTTCCGCCAGCAAATTTTACACCCTGAGTAACAAATGCTACGGTCACGACATGAGTAGGGCCCCTTCTGGCTGTATTGGGATAGTTCGGGGTGGGCAAACAGGGGTGGTAAAACCATTGCTCAGCTGTTCGTTTTTACTGAGCTCTGGCCACCTGTATGAAAGAGCCCTAACTCAGTGCAGCTCTCTCTTAACTGTTGGGATACAATATCAGCCACAAAGAAAGGACATTGATTATAAAAAAGATGGCCAACCCATGGGCTTGCATTGTGAGAAGGATCAGTAAAGTGCAATGTATAATGCTGCCAAGCAGTGAACAGAACCTGAGTATGTAATGAACAAATATGACTGCTCCCATTTGTATATAATAAAACATGTTACATCAGAACAGTTTTTAAAACATTAACAGATATCTATTGTACATGTTAATCTAAATAAAAACATTGAAAACACTATACATTCACTTTATTTCAATATAGATTTTGTATCCCATGAGTAATCTTAACATAAGTGTATTTATTTATTTATTTTAGGGCCATAATCATGAGTGATAAACCAAAGATTCACTACTTCAATGGAAGGGGGGCGAGCGGAAAGTATCCGCTGGATGTTGGCAGCATATGGTATCGAGGTTGGTAAATTGCAATGCTGAAATATTAGAGATAATTAAAGTCCAGCTCTTCTTTCAAAAAAATGTGCGGGCGGCGTGCCATTAGAACTAATAGCACTCGCAGGAATGTAAGGATGCCCCATCATTTGATGGAAATGAAAATTATCAACCTACAGAGGACTGAATTCAAAGACACCCGAAAATCAAAGTGAAAAAATTATGCAGCAGGCTAGTCCATTTTGCTGAAATTTCATTGCAGCAACTCAAAATGGTACTCAGTAGTTTGTATGGCCCCCACGTGCTTGTATGCATGCCTGACAAAGTCGGGGCATGCTCCTAATGAGACAACGGTGGTGTCCTGGGGTATTTCCTCCCAGATCTGAACCAGGGCATCACTGAGCTCCTGGAGAGTCTGAGGTGGCGTCAGATGGACCGAATCATGATATCGCCAAGGTGTTCTATTGGATTTAGGTCAGGTGAGCATTGGGGCCATTCACTGGTATCAATTCCTTCATCCTCCAGGAACTGCCAGCTTACTCTCGCCATATGAGGCCGGGACATTGTCATGCACCAGGAGGAACCCAGGACCCACTGCACCAGCGTAGGGTCTGACAATGGGTCCAAGGAATTCATCTCGGTACCTAATGGCAGTCAGGGTGTCATTGTCTAGCCTGTAGAGGTCTGTGCGTCCCTCCATAGATATGCCTCTCCAGACCATCACTGATTCACCACCAAAACGGTCATGCTGAACAATGTTACAAGCAGCTTAACATTCTCCATGGCTTCTCCAGACCCTTTCACGTCTGTCACATGTGCTCAGGGTGAACCTGCTCTCATCTGTGAAAAGCACAGGGTGCCCGTGGCAGACCTGCCAATTCTGGTGTTCAATGCCAAATGCAATTGAGCTCTATGGTGCTGGGGCAGTGACCACAGAGCCCACCAGAGGAGCCACCCTCATGAAGTTAGTTTCTGATTGTTTGGTCAGAGATATTCACACCAGTGGTCTGCTGGAGGTCATTTTGTAGGGATCTGACAGTGCTTATCCTGTTCCTCCTTGCACAAAGGAGCAGACACCAGTCCTGCTGATGGGTTAAGGACCTTCTACGGTCCTGTCCAGCTCTCCTAGAATAACTGCCTGTCTCCTGGAATCTCCTTCATGCTCTTGAGACTGTGCTGGGAGACACAGCAAATCTGGCAATGGCACGTATTGATGTCTTCACTGAAGCCCGCCTCACCACCTGCCCCCTGGACCCTATCCCCTCACAGCTCCTCCAGTCACCCCCCCCCTCCATCATCCGCTCCCTCACCCACATCTTCAATCTCTCCCTCTCCACAGGCACCTTCCCCCCTCCCCTCTAAAGCACGCACACATCACCCCCATACTCAAAAAGCCCTCCCTTGATCCCACTAACCTTAACAACCTTAGACCCATCTCCTTGTTGCCCTTCACTTCCAAGCTCCTTGAGCGGCTGGTCTACAATCGCCTAAGCACCCACCTCACTGATAACAACCTCCTTGACCCCCTACAGTCTGGCTTCCGCCCCCTGCACTCCACCAAAACCGCCCTACCTAAAATCACCAACGACCTGCTAACTGCAAAAGCCAATGGCCACTATTCTATCCTCCTGCTCCTTGACCTCTCCGCGGCCTTCGACACTGTTGACCACCCTCTCCTCCTTGCCAAACTGAACTCCCTTGGCATCAAGGGCGCTGTTCTCTCCTGGTTCACCTCCTACCTTTCCCAACGCTCCTTCAGCGTCACCTACAACACTGCCACCTCCCCCTCCCTCCCCCTCTCTGTCGGGGTCCCCCAAGGCTCTGTCCTCGGGCCCCTCCTCTTCTCCATCTATACCTCCTCCCTTGGCAAACTTATTCACTCCCACGGCTTCAACTACCACCTCTATGCCGATGACACCCAAATTTACCTCTCCACCCCCCACCTCACCCCCTCACTCTCTGCCCGCATCGCCCACCTCCTAAACGACATATCAGACTGGATGTCGCTCCATTTCCTCAAACTTAACCTATCCAAAACCAAGCTCCTGGTCTTCCCCCTCTCCCCATGCCCCCCCCCCCCCATCCTCTCCATCACTACTAACAACGCCACCATCTCTCCCACCCCACACGCCAAAGTCCTGGGTGTCACCCTGGACTCCCACCTCTCCTTCCTACCCCACATCCAACTGCTATCTAGATCTTGCAGGCTCCACCTCCGCAACATCTCCAAGATATGCACATTCTTCACCCCAGACACTACCAAACAACTCATACACTCCCTCATCATCTCACGCCTGGACTATTGCAACTCCCTTCTCACTGGCCTACCCAAACGAACGCTATCCCCACTCCAGTCAATCCTAAACTCTGCGGCCAGACTCATCCACCTCACCAAGCGCTCCACATCTGCCTCCCCCCTCTGCCAATCCCTTCATTGGCTCCCAATTGCCCAACGCATCAAGTTCAAGCTGCTAACCCTGACCTACAAGGCCACTCACAATGCCGCCCCGAACTACATAACTGACCTGATACCCAGATACTACCCTACCCTGTGCCCTCCGCTCCTCACAGGACCTCCTGCTCTCTAGCTCCCTGGTCTCCTCCTCCCACGCCCGATTGCAGGACTTCTCCCACCACTCCATCCCCCACAGCCATCTCCTCCTGTGCCACCTTCCCCTCCCTCCTAGATTGTAAGCTTGAAAGAGCAGGGCCCTCGAACCCCTCGTGTAGTGTATTGTTACTGTCTTGTCTCATGTTATGTCCCCCTGCTACTGTACAGCGCTGAGCATACCCTTTGGCGCTATATAAATACTGTATAATAATAATAATGTGCAATCCTGGAGGGGTTGGGCTGCCTGTGCAACCTCTGTAGGGTCCTGGTATCGCCTCATACTACCAGTAGTGACACTGACCCTAGCTGAATGCAAAACAAATGAAAAACAGTGAGAAAAGATGAGTAGGGAAAAAAATTTCACCATTCCTGTTTTGGGGGTCGTCTCATTGTTGCCCATCTGATGCACCTGTTGTTAATTTCAATAACACCAAAGCAGCTGAAACTGATTAACAACCCCCTCTGCTACTTAACTGACCAGATCAATATCCCAGGAGTTTAATTGATTTGATGCTATACTCTGATTAAAAAGTGTTCCTTTATTTTTTTTTTTCAGCAGTGTACTATATGTATCACTGGAGTAGATATACTAAAGGTAACTAGATTGTGCGCTTTGCAAGTGCAGTTGCTCCAGAGTTTGGTAAATGAGGTAAAGCTTCACTTTACAAAGAATACCCAATCACATTGAAGGAAAATTAAGAAAAAAAAATCATTTTTGCTTGCACATGATTGAATGATGGAAGTCAGTATAACATTCTCTTATTTACTAAATAGTTGGAGACATCCTATAAGGATGTTATTCCACTGCAATCCTTGGTGTCATCTGCAAAGACTGAAATTGTATTTTTAATCCCAGACCCTATATTATTTATAAATATATTAAAAAGTAAGGGTCCCAGCACTGAACCTTGGGGTACACTACTAACAACCCTAGACCAATCAGAGTATGAATCATTAACCACTACTCTCTGTATACGATCTTTTAGCCAGTTTTCTATCCATTTACATACAGATTTTTCCAAGCGTGTAGACTTTACCTAACACATTAGCCTTGTGAGGGGAACTGCGTCAAACACTTTTGAAAAATCCAAGTATACCATGTCCACCACCACCCCTCTGTCCAAGGTTTTGCTCACTTCCTCATAAAAAGAAATCAGATTTGTTTGACAACTTCTGTCTTTCATGAATCCATGCTGTCTGTTGCTTAAAATATTTTTTTTCCAGCAAAAACTCCTCTATGTGGTCTTTTAATAAATTCTCCAGTATCTTCCCAACTATAGAAGTTAAACTAACAGGTCTAAAATTACGACCCCTTTTTAAATATTGGCACCACATTGGCCTTATGCCAATCCAGTGGCACTATGCCAGTCATTAAAGAGTCCCTAAAAATGAGAAACAATGGCTTTGAAATTATTTCCTTACATGTAATCCTATAGGGGGTTCCAAATGCTAGCTAGGGTATACAGACAGGGACACAGGTTCCCCCAAGCCACAAGCTGAAATATAAGGGTGAACCTGGCCAAGAAGCAGCTTTAAGGTTTGGAGAACTTGTTGTCAGAGTAGAATACTGTGCAATATAATCCCTTAATGTGGTGAATAACATAAGCATTGCATAATTCCATATATGTAGCACATCCCAGTCAGGCCATTAGTGAAATATAGTTTTTGGCTCACTCTGTAGACAGAGAAGTGTGATTGCTTGTTTTAGTCTGCAATGGCTTCACAAGCTGTGGCATTGATTGCTTTCCTCTAGTTCTGTTGAGAATCTTCCAGAGCATGAGGTGGGATGATACAAATCCTCAGCCTGAATGTTTTCCAACTATCTGACTAATCCCTGAGGAGTTGCACCTATCAGGTGGCCAGAGGAAGGGGGGTAAATAGACCGAAGACTTGGCAGACAGAGTTAGTTTGTTCTTGGTCCCATCTGACGAAGGATGGATTGCTTCAGGGAGGTTGCTTGCCCCAGGAGCCACCCAGAACTAACTGCTGGACTACCTGATGCTAAGAGCAGAACACTTAAACATGGACTTCTCCCTTCCGGGTCTGTGAGTAGTTTATTCACAGAGCTGCAGTCTCCATGGTCTTCAATTGAGAATAGGGGACTGTTCCAGATAGCCCAGATTGTCCCTGTTGCCTTATGACCATGGGCTGCAAGAGATAGACTGTTCTAGCCTATAATTCCTCCCCCCCCCCCAAAAAAAAAGACAACTCCTAGACTGCTTCCTGAGCCAGAGTAAGTTAACTGCTTGCTGTGTGCCTGGCTGCCTCTACACTACCTAGGAGAGACCCTGTACTAAATTCAGTGCCCCTCTCGAGGGTAGTGCTACACATACTGTAAATAGGGTATTGCACCCAACATATATATCATACTAAGTAAAGAACGTAGGAAATGCAATTTCCTTGCACCATTAGACAACAGCAACATAGGAGACCTTTATTAGCACTGTCATGCTACTAAAATCTCTACCAATTAACCACTACAGCTAGCAAGTGATGGCACAAATGGCTCCCTATGGAGTAAGATACACAAGCAGCATACAGTAACGTCCTGCAGCAGTCAATTGTATATGATTTGGAGCATTGTGCAGTCATGTAAGACAGATCACTACTACATGCTATTTGTGTAGTTTACTCCATAGGGAGTCATTTGTTCTATCTGTTTAGTAATCTATTGCTACTCCTAGCAAATTAATTCTATCAATTTTAGTAGCACAACAGAGCCATTTGAATCCTTCTGTGCAGATTTGGCCTTAAAAATGATCCCTGGCTAGAATATACCCAAGAACCTTTGGCTTCTTTTTATTGCTATACATCAAGGTTTGGGATTTCCCCTTACTTCCTGTGCAGGTGACATGTTTCCTTATTATATTGCTTTTGGTGCCACTCATAATAGAGTTTTAAACATATCCATGTGTCCCTGAACATGGGGTGCAGGCTTATCCTGATACCAATCCAGAGGACTAGTAAACATAAAGAGGAAAGGATCGCCGCTACTCCCGACGAACCCAGGTGAATAAACGATAAGGAGCTTCAGCCTATATGTCTCCACCAAACCACAAACCCTGAAGCATTTTGCCCGTCCACCAGGGCTTAGACATAGTCTATGACAATACATTTATTGTGTGACCAAATGTCTTGCAAACTCCTATATTACCTTGTAAATATAGCGTTGATTTAATTGCAGGCTGCACATTGCCTGTGCACAGTGCAAAGCTGTGGGAAGGACCCAGTAGTTACACCCAATAAAGACTGCATGTAAAAACCTACAAGGAACGTGGTACAAGACCAGTCACCCTGAGATCAACAGTTTCCAAATTTTTTTGTATTATTTTTTTTTATTTAGTTTTTCCAAAATAACACAATACACATATAGAGAAAAAAAATTATATGCACAATTATAATAAGGTGTACATACTGTACATCCATATTCATCACATTTCAAACCTGAGACAGGTGAACCTGAGAGCAACAGTTTCCAAACTTTTTTTGTGTTATTTTTTTTACTTAGTCTTTCCAAAATAACACAATATGCATATAAAGAACAAAAAAAATGATATGCACAATTATAATAAGGCAGGCCTTGAAATTTCCACTCGCGTGCTTGCCAATGGTGAGTGGAAATTATGGTGGGGACAAGTGTGTCCCCAGGGCCATCTTGCTGAGCAGGCTCGGAACTCAGGGCTGGATCTGTCATTGGCACTGGGAGCCGTCAGACTGCTCAACAGCTGAGCGCAGTGAAAGCAAAGGAAGGAGTGTGTGCTGTGCTCTCTGCCTCCCCCTAGAGTGCAGTACCCAGCTCTGTGAGTGAACAACAAAGTACTGCAACTTTTTATAGGGGTGTGTTTGTGTGTGTGTGCATGTGTGTGCATGTATATGTGTGTGTGTGTGTGTTTGTGTGTATGTACGTACATGTGTCTGTGTGTACAGTACATGTTTCTAAGTATGTATGTATGTACATGTGTCTGTGCGTGTGTGTTTCTGTGTGTACTTGTGTCTGTGTGTATGTACATGTATGCGTGTGTGTACGTGTCTGTGTGTGTATACATGTGTCTGTATGTGTGTGTGTACATGTGTCTGTGTGCGTGTGTTTACATGTTTCTGTGTGTGTATGTATGTGTGTACTTGTTTGTTTGTTTGTGTGTGTATGTACATGTGTCTGTATGTAAACCTACATGTATGGGTGGTTTGGTCAGGTTCAGGATTATGTGGTTATTATGGGTGGTAGAGTATGGGGCATTTGAGGTACTGCTGGGTTGGATAGTAGGTAGGATATGCTTGGTAGAGTTATGGTTATGTGAGTGAAAGATCATGGGGGGTTATGGTTGTATACGGTGCATGATCTAAGTATGATGGAGTGTTTAGGGGGACATTGGAGGCCCTGATGTAATATGGTAACATTTAACAGTGTAATTTCATGAAATAATTTATGAGGGCATGTTTAGGGGGGAATTAGGGGTTTAGCGGGGTAGGGGTTGGGTGGGGCAACTGGTGGCGAGTAACTCTTAAGGCCTGGCTATTAGCTCAGGACTTGAAATTTTAAGCCCTGCAATAAGGTGTACATATTGTACATCCATATTCATCACATTTCAAACTTGGGACAGGTCACCCTTTAGAGCAACAGTTTCCAAACTTTTTGTGTTTTTTTTTTATTTAGTCTTTCCAAAATATCACAATACGCATATAGAGAACAAAAAGGAAAATTATATGCACAGTTATAATAAGGTGTACATACTGTACATCCATATTCATCACATTTGAAACCTGGGACAATTATAATGTAACTACTACAAAAAGATAAAAGTCAAGGATAATATAATTAAGGGGTCCAAAGAAACCCATCCCTCTGGTACCCACTCACTGTACCTTATCAGTGTGGCTCAGTGATCAGAAAAGCATACACGGACAAACTGGCCACAGAAAGAAAGGGCTGTAGTCAACAGATCAGAACAATTAGAGCCTGCTGGGTCGAAATCCACAGGAGGTTAACACATATTTATAATCCAAAAAATCCTTTATTGAAAAATAATTATCATAATGATACAAATGCAAAACAAAATTGAAAAAAAAGTGTTTTTAATTTTGTTTTATATTTGTATCATTATCATACTTATTTTTCAATAAAAGATTTTTTTGTTTATAAATATGTGTTAACCCTCTGTGAATTTATGCCCCGTAGGCTTTAATTGTTCTGATCTGTTGACTACAGCCCTTTCTTTCTGTGGTCGGTTTGACAGTTATAATGTAACCCTGATGTTAATGCAGCCAGAATATTCCCTACCTGTCACGTGAATATGGCAAAAGCACAATCAACAAATAAGAATCAAGCGCATATAGTCCAGATATATGTCTGGAGCAGACTTTGTGTTTTATAATATCCGCAGAGGGTAATTTAATAACTACTAGAGGGGAAATTGGAAAGATTAAATATAAGGGAAACTGTAAAGGTGAGAGAAAGGGGGAAAAAATACATGAGGTCTGGGCATTGAAGGGTATGGTCTCCCCACAGTTCTTGCATTTGGAAAATAGCTAGCCTAAAAACGTAACCTAGAGGTCTGGAGAAAAATATTCTTGGGAAAAATGGAAATCATGCCAATAAAACCACAATTTGCAAAACTGGTCCTTCTTGAGTTTCAGTGAGGCCATAAGTTCCTCTATGCATTTGATATTGATGACCATAGGTATCCACTCTCCAACAAAGGGAAGGGTCAGCCATTTTGTCTGACTCAGTTAAGAGACAATGATTATAGTAACTTCTAGGAAGCATAGTAAGCTGCAAAGGAAAAGCTACAGGGAAACAACGGTGAATTTAGTCACCTAGGTTTCCCAATAAGGTTGTGTTGGGAATTCCCAAAAATATATAATGGAGTACCCCTTGTCAAGTTGCATCTCCACCATATAAAAGTGGAAAGAAGGATTTTATGCAAAAGGACTGGTACTCTATAACACCTGGTCAAGATTTTATACCTGGCCTTCTGGAATCTGCTAGAAATAGACTGTACAAAAAACATCATATGATCCCTTTGTTCTTGTGTCAAGGTCAGACCTAAGTCGTGCTCCCATTTTTGAGCAAATAGGGGATGAAGCCCTCATCTGGAAGAGGTATAGTATTATACAAACAGGTAATCAAGGGGTCTAGGCAGTAATTATCAAAGGATAAGTGAAATTAAAGTGCAACTAAAGGCAAAACAGTTTTTTTTAGTTTTCAATAGCGTGAACAGGGATTAGAACACCTGACAGTTTTTATTGCTGGCTGTGCCCCTATTAGGGAGATTCCCCCTCTCTATTTGTCCTGTTCATTGTTATCATGGAAAGTGAAAGTAAAAGAAAATCCAGAATTTTGGGTTGACATCAGAACATTAATAGAGGGTAAATCTTCCAATGGGGACACTAGTTCTGGTGACACACCGGAATTCCCTCACTTTGGAGGAAGTTCCTCTCATTTCCTGTTTTGGATATCGGGCAGGAAGTGAAATCTCCGCAATTGGACACAGATGGTAAAAAAAAAAATTGGGGGCTAAAACCCTCCCTCACTCTATCCTAAATAGGATAAAAGTTTGAATTTAGTTACTTTAAAGTGGAACTGCATTGCATCTGAACACCACAAAGCAAAAATGCTATTTAATTCATTTTTAATATTCAAAGCAAATGTGTCATTTACTTCCTGGAATCCATCTGCCCTTAGCTCAGGCATATGCTGAGCTGAGTTCCTTCTTATAGACTAATGGGGTGTATGACATCATTTGTCTAGGCATGGAAGCCAGGAAGTAACTGAAGAATTGTAAAAAAAAGTGTAAAACAAGTAAATATGACATACTTTCCTGTATATTTACTAATGCTAGCAGCATAAGGATTAAAAATAGTTGATTGAAAGAGTGAAGTTACACTTTAATGCTTGCAGTTTAATAGCAGACAAAAAGTTATATGGCCTGCCAGTGTTTCATTTGAGGATCTAAGATTGCATGTATTTCCAAAATAGACTTCCCCTCTCCCCTGAATTGTTTAAAATGAGGATCTGAAGTCCCAGGTGGAAAGGCCCAGGATCTGATAACTGGAGTCATAACAGAGGGATGAGGCTGTAAGGTTAGAGATGCAACAAGATTTAGAGATTATCAGTAATGTAATCCCTTTAAATTGATGAAGTTTAATCACTGGTGGGAGAGTGACCTGTTGCCAGAGCGGGAGTTCAACCATGTTTTGCTCCAGGTTCATCCAACTTTTAAATGAGGCATGTGTATACCAGTCTAAAACTCTTGACATGTGGACCACCTGGTAATATTTAGATGGATCTGGAAAGTCTATGTATCTCCATTCTTTTGGCAAGGACAAGAGTTTATATGATAACCTCTTGGATTTGTATGCCCCCAAAAAGTTGGGAAAATCAGCTTTTACGGACCAGAAAAAAAGGATCTCAGAATAGATATCAGGATTTTCTGTAGGAGATGCAACAGCCGGGGAAAAATATTCATTTTTAATATGCTATTCCCCTTGACCACGTAAAAATATGATGATTCCAATGCACCAGGTCTAATCTATGGTAACAGTAATGGGGGACATTTCCTTATGAATGGTGTAATGTATGCCCCTAATATTTAATTATAATTGAATTTGTCATCCAGTTGAGTAGGAAATGTTAATGATCTGTCGTAGTATATTTTGTTTAATTCTTCCAACTTGACAACTTTTTTTTTTGTAGTTGGCAAGTTCTGCATTATTCAGACCTTAGCTAGAAAGGGAGAAATTAAAGATATGACTTAAAGAATGAAGGATCGAGCCAGAGGGTGACCATAGTATTTGCGAGGGAACAGGGTCCAGGGGGCAGGTGGTTAGGCGGGCTTTAGAAAACAGTTTACCAACTTCCTCTATAGTAGCTGTGTTAAACAAGGGAAGTATAGATTGTGCAGGTGGACAAGGAGTGTAGAGTGAGGGAGATATCTGTACAGTGGAGATCTCGTCACGAATTGTATCAATCTTATTTGTGAAGTGATTAGCGATCTCCTGGGCAGTGAGTGAGTTAGTGGGTGGATGTAGAGAAGGACGAAGTAGAGCGCTAAAGGTAGAAAAGAGTTGACGGGGATTGCGTGAGAGGGTGTTGATGAGAGTGATAAAATAGGTCTGTTTGGCAGTGTGGAGACAAGAATTGTATTTTTGAAGGGTAGATTTATATTGGTTGAAGTCTTGCTGGGTCTTAGTCTTGCTCCATAAACACTCAAGAGCACGGCTACGTTTTTTGAAGCATCTGGTATTGTCTGTTTGCTAGGGCTGTAGTGGTTGGGGCCTAATTCTCTGTGTAGTGAGGGCCAATGTATCCACGGTTAATCACAGTGAACTATTGTAGACAGAAGTGGCCAGGTTGGGGCAGGACAGGACTGAGATTTTGTCATAGAGACAATCTGTTGCCGAAAAAGAAGGGTAAAGGTAGCGAAGGTTTTTATGGGTAACTGTTTGGTAGTTGGAAGACAATGAGGAGGAAGCCAAGGAGAGAGTGAAGCTAATAAGGGAGTGTTCAGAGAGAGGAAAAGGAAAGTTGGTGAGGTTGCAAGGAGTGCATAGGTAGGAGAATACAAGGTCAAGGCAGTTACTATTAGAGTGAGTAGAAGCATGTGTCCATTGTTTTAGGTCAAAAGAAGTGGTTAGGCTCAGAAGTTTAGAGGTAGCAGGAGTGTTGAGATTAACAGGGATGTTGAAGTCACCAAGAATGATTGTGGGAATTTTATGAGAGAGAAAGTAAGGCAGCCAGGCAGAGAAGTCATCAAGGAAGCTTGATACCGGTCCAGGAGGACAATAGATCACAGCAATTCTTCAAGAAACTGGAGAGAACAGACGAATATAGTGAACTTCAAATGAGGAGAGGGACAGAGAGGGAGGTGAATGGAGGACCTGAAAAGTGCTTTGAGGGGATAGGAGGATTACAACTCCACCTCCTTTCCATCCACTAGGCCTGGAAGAGTGAGTTCAGAGCAGGGGCGGACTGACAAACTCATGGGGCCCCCAGGCAATAGGGGATCATGGGGCCCCTGTGCCCTTGCCCAAACTCAAAAAAGCCTATGAAAAAGGTACCAGGGGCATCTCATGGGGCCCCCTACTGACCCCGGGCCCTCGGGCAGTGCCCGAGTTTCCAAATGGTCAGTCCGCCCCTGGTCCAGAGGAGACCACCATGGGAGAGGGCAGCAGAAGAGGAAAAGTCAGATTCATGAAGCCAGGTTTCTGTAATTGCAAGTAGGTTAAAGGAGTTTGTGATAAAAAGGTCATGGACAGAGGTGGGCTTGTTACAGACAGAGCGGGCATTCCAGAGGGCACAGGAAAAGGGGAGGCTGGTCCTAGGAAGAAGAGCAATAGTAACCAGATTGAGTGGATCCTGTGAGAGGATAGGGGTGCCAGGTGTGTTAGTCAAAGGAAAAGTATGGTGGCCCAGGATTTGGGGAAATGTCTCCAGATGTTAGGAGAAGCAGAAGGGTGAGAGAGGTAATATGGGAGTATTGACTTATGTGGAGGGACAGGTCCCAGTGTCCTGGAGGTTTAATTAGTATGTGGGTTCAGAATTATCAGGAGTTGATGAGTACAGTAGTAAGGTGAAGAAAGGAGTGAGGGTGATATATATATAAGCTGTGGGGTGGAGAAGAGGGGTGAAGGAGAGAGAGTTTGAAGAGAGAGGACACAACTGTGAGAAGGAGGAATAGGGAGTGCATGTTACAGAGTGGTGAGATGAAGAAGCAGACTAGGTAAGAGATGAAAGAACTGGATGGGGAAACTGGTCACCTGTATCCTGTTTAGTATTTGAAGTTGTCAGCTTTTCGCTTTGTGCATTCACTGAAGTACAATGCTCAATACTTAATCCAAGATCAATACTTTAGCCAAGATGATAGTTGCCAATGCTGCCCACGGCTGTGTCTCCCCTAAGGAAGGCCTAAATGTATACTGAGTTGGGTGGGGGTATTGCCAATTAATCAATTAGGACATCCCTGCCTTTTCCCATTAGTAAGAGAGATGGCCTCATTTACCCAAACTGCTGCAGCAGGATGGGATTAAATTGTATCAGTCAACCAAGACACATTGACTTTGGCGACAATATATATAAATTTGTGTTTCAAAAAGTCCCAGTCTATCTGATCGAAGCCTTTCTCCAATCCTGCTGATTTCCGCAGAAGCAGAGTATCCTTTGACTGAGCTAAGTGGCTGAGGTATAGAACCATGCTTGTATTGTCTTTGGCTTGCCTACTAGTCTGAATCACATCTGAGTGTTTTTTCATGCATATTTTACAGTGTTTTTGTGCATTTTCATACAGCGTTTTTAGCTCTTTTTGAGCTTTGGCGTTTTTTTTATTAGCCACTAGAAAAAAATTTCATCTGTTGCATCATTTGTTGATAGGTTTTTCTGTTTCAGCTTTTCCATCAACTTTTATTTGTTTTTTTATTATTATTATTATTATTATTATTATTATTAATTAATTAATTGTTCTTTTTGTTCAGGTGATAATAATAATAATTATTATTATTATGATAAATTCATAAATAAATGTTAAATAAATACACACATACAGTTGCAAGAAAAAGTATGTGAACCCCTTGGGATTACGTGGAGTTTTGGATGAATTGGGCATTGTGCTCTGAACGTCATCTAAGTCACAACAATAGAAGAACACAGTCTGCTGAACATAATACTACACAAACATTAGATGCTGCCATGGTTTAATTGCACATAACATGTAAACATTCACAGTGCAGGGAGGAAAAAGTATGTGAGGCCCTAGCTTAATGACTTCTCCCAGAGCTAATTGGAGCCAGGAGTGAGCCAACCTTGACTCCAATCAGTTGTGATGATATTGGATGTGTTGCTGACAGCTGTCCTGCCCTTAAAAACACACACCTGTTTTGGGTTTACTGGTTTCAAGAAGCACTGTCTGATGTGAACCATGCCTCGCAGAAAAGAGCTCTCAGAAGACCTACGATCAAGAATTGTTGACTTGCATGAAGCTGGAAAGGGTTACAAAAGTATCTCCAAAAGCCTTGATGTTCATGTGTCCACGGTAAGACAGACTGTCTACAAATGGAGAAAGTTTAGTACTGTTGCTACTCTCCCTAGGCGTGGTCGTCTTGTAAAAATGACTGCAAGAGCACAGCGCAGAATGCTGCATGAGGTAAAGAAGAATCCCAGAGTGTCAGCTAAAGACCTACAGAAATCTCTGGCACATGCTAACATTTTTGTTGACACATCTATAATAAGGAAAACATTAAACAAGAATGGAGTACATGGGAGGACACCACGGAGGAAGCCATTGCTGTCCAAAAAGAATATTGCAGCACGTTTGAAGTTTGCAAAAGAGCACCTGGATGTTCCACAGCACTACTGGCAAAATATACTGTGGACAGATGAAACCAAGATTGAGTTGTTTGGGAAGAACACACAACAATGTGTGGAGAAAAAAAGGCACAGCACACCAACATCAAAACCTCATCCCCACTGTGAAACATGGCGGAGGGAGATCATGGTTTGGGGCTGCTTTGCTGCCTCAGGGCCTGGACGGTTTGTTGTCATTGATGGGAAAATGAATTCCAGAGTTTATCAAGACATTTTGCAGGAAAACGTACGACCATCAGTCCGCCAACTGAAGCTCCGCAGAGGATGGGTGATGCAACAGGACAATAACCCAAAGCATACAAGTAATTCAACAAAACAATGGCTGCAACAGCACAGAATAGACCTTCTGGAGTGGCCCAGTCAGAGTCCTGACCTCAACCCGATTGAAATGCTGTGGCATGACCTTAAGAGAGCAATTCACACCAGACATCCCAAGAATATTGCTACACTGAAACAGTTTTGTGAAGAGGAGTGGTCCAAAATTACTCCAGATCGTTGTGCAGGTCTGATCTGCAACTACAGGAAACGTTTGGTTGAGGTTATTGCTGCCAAAGTAGGGTCAACCAGTTATTAAGTCCAAAGGTTCACATACTTTTTCCTCTCTGCACTGTGAATGTTTACATGTTATCTGCAATTAAACCATTGCAACATCTAATGTTTGTGTAGTATTATGTTCAGCAGACTGTGTTCTTCTATTGTTGTGGCTTAGATGACGTTCAGAGCACATTTTATGCCCAATTCATGCAAAACTCCACGTAATCCCAAGGGGTTCACATACTTTTTCTTGCAACTGTACATAAAAATAACCCCTAAAAAATATATTAAACAAATTACTTTTTTTATTATTATTATTATTATTAATAATAATAATAAAAAAATAATTAATTAATTTAAAATAAATACACAAATAAAAATAATCATAAATAAATACTTGTAATAATTAATTAATAACAATTAACCCATAACTTTAACCCCTAAAACCTAAAAAAGTTATAAAATAATAATAAAAATAAATTATTTATATATTATTATTATTATTATTATTAATAATAATAATTCATTTCATTTATAATCTAAGGGCCACGCATCCTCTGGGGTTAAATACTGCACTTATGTTTAAGCCATCTCTGTAAATACCAGTGACTGTTTGTTTTTGTTTTTTTCCTGTTTGTTGTGTAATTTTTCAATTATGTTCTGAATTGATATCTGTCTGCTGTTCTGTCCAGAAATGTTCTGTCTCCTGTTGTCCGCTCTGCTGTTATAACAGCGGTGGGGATGGGGAGAAAGAAGCGGTTCCTAAGTGGCGTGATCGGGTCAGGGTGAAACAGTGGCTCGGTCCGCATCCGGACCACAATCCACCATTTAATGATGCCTTCTCTATAGTGTGTACCTGCCTCAATCCAATGCAATAAGTGTTATTTCTGTCAGCTACCTCCTTCCTCTGCTATCAGCATGATTCACTTGTGATGACTTTTCCTGACACCAAGAGAAAAATGGTGATGGGGAGGGCACAGCCTGTGATTGACAGCCTCAGCTTAGTTCCCGTGTGCTGTGTGAAGGAGGTGTGCTGTCCCTTCTTTCTAATCAGCTCTCAGAGCTCTCCTCGCTGAGTTTAACTTCAGCTCCCCACCTCCTGCTTTTCAGAGCTGAGACATCCTGTGTAAATTTTAAATGGATGTAGGGGATATACAGCTGTAGATAAACAGGTACAATGTATGTAGGATGACTTTTTTTTCATATCTGTGTTACACCTGAGGGCAGTCTGGGTATACATAAGGGATTACAACCACTTTAAGCTTATTTAAAAAAAAACAAAAAACTATCATGTACCCGTTTATTCATGTTTTGTTTTAACTTTAGAGAATGAGAAGGCCTGGTGTGAGGCCAGTATTACCCTAAAACTGTCCACAAATTCATGATGATTTTTAAGTAAATATAAACAAATATTTCCTAGCACACATGAATGCTTTATTGTCTGGTGATACTTTTTTATTTATTCTTTTTATCTTGCCAGTTTGAAGAAAACTTTATTGAAGAAAAGGAACAATATGACCAGATGGTTAAAAGTATGTATTTGTTACTATTTATCTTGTCCACTTGGCTTGGGTGGGCTGTTATGTACCATGTGCTTGTTACTTAGTAGTACTCTAAATAATGTAAAAAATCTCTTCAGGGATTTGTAAGATGTATATTTGATTATCAGCTTAAAGGAACCTACTATGGGAAAAAGAGGTGTCCATTGGTTCTCCTAAAATGCTAGAAGTCTGGCGCTTGAGTGTTAGCATTTTGACCCAGAATAGGCATGTAGATAAGAACCTTTGACTCTTCTGAGACTTTCATGATCTTCATGCCAGTTCTGGGTTGGTGAAGTGGAAGGTTTTGAAATCAGCTGAAGGATTGCAACTGCATAATTAAAAAATTCTGTACTCCCTTTTTTAGTATTTTTTTCTTTCCTGGTGAATTTTCATTGCAGCATACAATGTTTTGAAGCTTTCAAGAAAATAGGAACAGTTATTTATAAATTCCACATACCCCACTATCTGACATTTCTGTAAATTTTATGCTGTTAGGATGGGAGCTATGCATGCTGCCATGAAGATGCATAGGGAAGGTAAAATTACTGAAAGGTGAGCTTTTGTTTTCCTGGAGTGTCATGGCAGATACAGTGGGACTTGTATACAAACACACAGTGTGGGAATACAATAGTAATTTTTTGTGGTCGGGTCTGAACAGACGTGCTGAGCGAAAGTTAATTCAAATTGAACTAAGGAGAGGCAGGCTTGTTTAACTACTGCTTGGTCAACTGGTGATGCCAGTGGCGAGTGTATTATTATTGTAATTTAAAAAAAACTCTTAGATGGGCATCTTAGCAAACACAACATACTGGAATATGGCAAATGGTATTGACATAAACACACACACACAAACACACACACATTAAACTGGATGGACTGTTGTCTTTATTCAACCTTACCAACGATGTAACTATCTAGTATGTGAAAATCTGTTGTTGATGGCCATATAGCTACTTTTCATATGGTCTCTGGAGAAGCTTTACAAAAGGCTTGCCCAATAAGCTGCAATCCTGTGTGTGGAATGAGCCCTGACTTCCAATGGAATGGGAGACTGTTGAAAGCTAATGTCTTTCCAGTTGATTCCAACTAGCCAGATAAGGCAGCAATTTTTCTATATGTTCCATTGCCCTTTCATGGCTCCATGAAGAATAACATAAAGTTGTCAGATGTTCTAGCTGTGCTAGTGGCGTCTTATATAGTTTTTAAGATTGTTGCCTATGTTCAGTGTTTTCACTCTGCTTAAAGTGCTTTCATCAATTGAGGGTTCTGTCTCCAGACTTATCCATCTTGGTTCTCAGGATGACTTAATCCAAAAGGTGAGAAACGCCTTGCAGTCTCCAAATCCCTGCATTTCTGAGAAATTTCTTGCAGAGGTAACTACTACCATAAAAACAGTTTCCGAAGTTATGTTCAGAAGACTGCAGCCATCTGTGGGTGAGAAGGGTGGTTCTAAGAGAGTACTGAGTATGACTGAAAGGTCCCACTGTAGGAACAAAGCCTTCCTGGGAGGGTGCATTCTGCTGCAGACCTTTGAGTAATTGCACAACTATTATTATATCCAACCATATGAGATCACTGAGACTGAAGCCAAAAGGCCACTGTTCATTACTGTCTGCAAGATGCCCAGGATGCTTGATCTCTGGACATAAAGGATTGATCTGGTTCTGGTCAGCAAAACTCAGAAACACGATCAGCTTAATTTCCAACATTCTCCTATGGCTGTGAATACTGCCCTGAAGTCTCTTATGTAACTTCTTTGCGGTTGTCTAGTTGGAATTTCACTCTGGTGTTGTGATTGAGTGAAAGAAAGGCCTCAAGCGTAAGGAAGGAAACTCAGATCTCTAAAATGTTGGAAACAAAATGATATGGAGAGAACTTCCATTGTCCTTGAACCATATTAAGACCGGTCTTGATGTTGTTTTTATGTGATTTTAGGTCCTTGTGTATTGTCTCATACTGAGGTGATGGTGAACTAGGGTATTTACCCTATTGTTTATAACTATTGTGTAATAAAGCATACATTTTGGGAATTATTATGATTATCGCAGTCTGTCCATGATGTAACCACTTTTCTGTGAATTCCTTTTCACAACCCTTCTTTTTTGCATGCATGTTTTTTGGTTACTGGGCAGAAATCATATATTGGGTGATACAGTACATTTATGAACCTCTACCCTCTCTTATTCTTTTGTGGCCCCATGAAATGCCCCTGGTACCCTATTTATAGGCTTTTTTGAGTGTGGGCAAGGACACAGGGGCCCCATGATCCCCTATTGCCCGGGGGCTCCATGAGTTGTCAGTCCACCTCTGCATGGGTGTGCAGTGGAGACTAGAGGTGGCCTTTTTGACACACATTATACAAACAAGGTCCAGTGTTGTCACCTCCAGGACACATGCTCTGATAAATGCTGTGCAACCATTGCTGTAGACAAGAAGAAAAAGAGCAGCACCGAAATACAACAAAGGATGAAGAAAAGGATGAACAGTATTTTACCATAACAAAATTACAAGTATTTATAATACACTGTGTTTTAACAAGCTAAATATTGCCCAGGGCCTACATCTACCTTAAAAAGATCCCGTCGCCACAAGGTTACTTGTGCAGAATGCACGCATTTTAAAAGGGGCAGTATGCTTACTATAACCTTTCCGGTGTTGAAATGCCGTTGCATTGCTTCTCTGTTCTCTATTGGTCACTGCAGGTACAGTCTTTCACACTTCTAGGTGTAACTGCTCCATCATCGCACGCTGTAGTTGCTCCTGCTAGTTCATACATCACTACTGGGCATAGTGATGCCAGCAGGAACCACAGCTTGCAGCAGGGCACTGGATATTTAACCTACCTGATAGTATGTACTGACATTTTTTTATTTATTTATACTAGTAATGGCGGCAATTAGCGACATATTGCAGAACTGTGGCGGGCATTTTGACATTGGGGGGGGGGACTGACTAACTTCCACTGACATCCCCAGTGACAATAATACAGTGGCCAGTGCTAATACAAAGCACTGACACTGTACTAGTGACAGTGGGCAGGAAGGGGTTAACATCCGGGGTGATCAAAGGGTTAACTGTGTACTGTTTTTACTGTTTTCCTAGGGGACTGTGTTTTTACTAGGGGATGTGCTGCTTTCTCTCGCTCTGATTTGCCCGCTCACAGGAGAGAGAACTGTGTTCTTTACAGACAAATCTCTCCCCTGTCAGCTTCTCTGATGATCTCCAAGTCCTGGCCATGAATGGCAGGGCGGGACCCGGTGCTTGACATCTTCAGGAGCCAATGACCACATGGGTAGGGCGGTGCGAGCGTCCCCTACCTGCAAATGCAAAACCACGTATTTATACATTATTTTGCACAGTGCAGCCACCCCGTAGCCATATATCTGCTAGGGAAGAGGGGGGAGGGGTCTTTAAATGATTAAACACAGTGTTGTACTTTTTTATTATCTCACTTTTCCGGTCACTACTTTGGCAGCCCATTGATGATGTGATTTTCTTTCCTTCTACCACAGGTAAAAGGTAAGAAAATCGCTCTTGCAGTATATTGTATTCTGCTGGGGCATAGGGAGACTTCCCAACCAGTAGAATACAATGGTTACTGCTAGCAGCTATAGCTGCTGGCATTAATCGTATGAAGAAAAATTTGACAGGCTGGTTGTACGCAAGTCAATCGATGGATCGACTTGGGTACAATTAGTCTCCACATACATGGATCAAAATTTGGCCAGGCCTTTCTGAACCAAACAAATTTCTGTCCATGTATGTCTGCCTTAAGGCTTGGTTCATACTGGATGCGATTTAAAATCGTGTGTTTTGTTTGCCATGTTCTCTGAAGATTTGCTAACGATTTCTTGCGTTTCCATTGCAGTTTGCAGTGAAATTTCTATTGTAGTCTATGTGAACTTGCAACAAACTGCAGAAAAAGTAATACACGAACTACTTTTGAAATTGCACTGCAGCAAAGCGCGTATGTTAAGACACTCACATTCACATTCATTAGATCCGATTTCAGGTACGATTTCAATTCCCAAATTGCACCTGAAATCGCGGCATTGAGAACCAGCCCTAAGCTGTTCTAATTTTTGACATGACAGTTGCCTGTGTTTACTGAGTAGTTGTTCCTACAATACAAAGCATGAGCCTCTGTATAGGTTGATAGAGGTCTGTTCCGTGTTAGTTCCTGCAAGATTTCTCTAGTGATTAACTTTTGCCCAGCTTTGAGGTGACTTTTATTTACTCAGTCAGTCCTTGTTCTTTTCCACTCTAGATGGAGATCTGATGTTTCAGCAACTTCCAATGGTGGAAATGGATGGCATGAAATTAGTATCATCAAGAGCCATCCTGAACTATATAGCTGGAAAATGCAATATATATGGAAAGGACCTAAAAGAAAAAGCATTGTAAGTATTCAGAGAAAAAAGCGTTCTTCTCCCTATGTATAAATGTATATAAATCACAAAGTGGTACAATGAACATGAATGTGTTTATAACTCATAATAGTAAATAAAACTATATCACGTTCTTATACCAGAGCTTATAGCACCCTATGCAAAAAGGATGTTTGCAAAGGCCAAAATCTTTTAGAAAGTGATTTTTATAGAAGAGGAATAACAGAAATGTGTACATGACTAGTGTAGAAGAGATGTGTTGGCTAAGACTAAAGCAACTAAAACCATACCAACCCGACTCTCTCGAAATACCCCTACTCTCCCTCTACAAATAAAGGAGACCAAACACCGTTGGAGTAAAATGGCCTTCACTGCCTTTTATTAACAATTCAACTTAAATCACAAAAACATTCCTTAAAACAGAAACATACAGGATACGTTGTTGGTCTACAAAGACACCAAACAATATTGATATCCCCCTGCGGAACCTTAACCCTAATATTCATACTAGGCCTCCAGCCGCAACGCACCGACTCAGAGACAAAAACACACCTTCCACAGTATAGAACCTCCACCTTCCAATTCAACCTCGGTTAACCTGAATGCACCCGGGCACACCATACCACAGATGGGTCCTAACCATACACTTTCGCTTAAAACATTTTGCCGCCTCCAAAGACCAACTGCCCCAAAAATTAAATAAAGCAAGCACGGAAAGACCCAAAACACCCCAGGGGAGGGCGGGAGGGAAGTTTCCACTTCAGCTGTTATACCAGCACTGGATTGTCCGACCCCCCAACACTCTCCAAAATCATCAAAGATCCCACCATGCGCTACCATCAGCAATCAGGTAACCTTCATGTTTTAAACCATCCCCTTTAACTTAACCCCTTGCTGTCTTTCTTTCCCCTCTTCACCTAGTCATGTCTGCCCTCCACTATTCTTCTCTTTTCTTTTCCGGTACGGGCACCACTTTTCCATTAACCAGTAATGCAGACAGCTGGTCAGGCTATCATTTTGGCTGAATCAAGGGAAACCTCTATAAATTCTTTTAACAAATTTTTCATGTTGACTGTGGTGAGAGCATTGTGTGGCTAGTGAGCTGCTTTCTCACAGCCTCAAAAATATACCCTGATAGCAACTTTCAGTATTTATTAGCTGTGAGGCTCTTGCCAAATACAACTGTTGAGATGCATGGAGTGTCTGCCTAGCCCCCAACTTTCTGTCATTTAGAGTCAGGCCCCCTATATGACCAAATTCTTCTGTGCCTCACTCTTCTTTAGCTGTCCCTCATTTTTTTTTGGTCTGAGATATACAGTCATGGCCAAAAATATTGGCACCCCTGCATTTCTGTCAGATAATGCACCACTTCACCCAGAAAATTGTTGCAATTACAAATGTTTAGGCATTCTCATGTTTATTTTTTTTGTTTGTAATCACACACTACCCAAATGATTACAGAGGAGCTAAAGAATTAACTTTACCTGAACCTCTCTAGCAACCTATTGTAGTAGGGTGCTACAGACCTCCATTATCCACTTTACGACTGCCCGCCTGCATTGTACGGGTACTTTGCTGGTCTACTTCTGGGTTTCGGGCGTGCATCCCCCCCTCCAGCTTCCACTGTGATTGTAAACTGCAGGAGCCTTTCAATTAGTCCTGGCCAGGACCTACTGATTGGCTGTGTACAATCACAGCTGAGAGCTCAGTGTTGGTAAACCACACAGGGCTCTGCACAGAGGGAACGATCTGTCAGTTTCTTATCCATGCAAACCAGGGATAAGAAACTGAGAGATCTAGTAGTAAAAATCAGCACACTTTACAATCATATACATATTTAGGTACACATTTAACTCTTTTCATCACCCTAGAAGTTAACCCCTTCTCAACCAGTATCATAAATACAGTGATAGTGTATAGTATTATCACTGATCTCTGTATTAATGTCACTGGTGAGGTCAGTGGCAGTTAGTCAGTGTCAGTTGGTGTCAGATTGTCCACTGCACTCCAGCAGTCCCATTATAAGTCACTGTTCACCGCCATTAGCAGTATAAAAACTATAACACTCACATTAACAAATCAATATACTCCTATTGGGAATTTTTTTTATCAAAGACATGTAGCAGAATATATTTTGGCCAAAATGTATGACGAAATTAGATTTTTTTAAAAAAAATGTTATTGGATATATTTGATAACAAAGTAAAAAATATTTTTTTTTTTTTTTTTTTTAAATTTCAGCCGTTTTTCATCTTAATCGCAAAAAATAAAAAAATCCAGTGGTATAGCAAAAATGACCTGGTCACGAAGGGGGTAAAATCTTGCTGAGCTGAAGTGGATTTTATAGAATTAATTTACAGAGATATTTTCAAAGAGGCAATGTAAAATGAAAGTTTCTTAAATAGTTAGCAGCAACTTCCATGTGCAGTATTCTGCAGACTACCTCCTCACCACTAGGGGATAGAGTAAGTTAACAAAGAGTAAAGGTAAGAGAGAAAATAGAAATAAAAAACAGCAACAGACAAAGGAAAGGGGGGTATGGTATGAGGTCAATCGCCCTATCAACAAAATCCAAAATGCACCACAGGGCAGCATAGGGGAGGGCCATCATTCATGCTGCTGTGTATCTACAGCAGGTATACCAAGTGATCAGGAACTAGTGGGCTAATTGAGTAGATTTAAAACAGATCCAAGTGGCCATATCTTTTAATATGTATCATCTTTATCCTTACAGATATATACCAATTCTTCAGCTTCCATAATGAAATTTACCTTACTAATCCAATCATCCACCGTGGGTACCTGTATTTGCTTCCAAAACAGTGGAATCAAACTCTTAGCAGTATTAGGCAACACAACGAACATTGAGCCAAATCATCATCTCTCACTTTCAAAAGTGGTGATGTCCAAAATCAGTTTTTGGATTTTGGCCCAGTAAGGCTTAATTTTCAGACAGTCCAACTAGACATAAAGGTGGGAACCTTGCATGCCACAACCCCTCCAGCAGCTATCCAGAGCAAAGAAGTATGCTAAAGCCAGTGTCTTGGAACTCTGTACCACCTCATAATTATTATTCTAATTATTCCAATTCGTTGTCTTGCATTTTAGAGCACATTGTGGAAGTATGTGTCAACTTTAAAAAGGTGCGCCTACAGGGCTCTGATAGTATGCACTACATCTCATTTTACAATTCCTTGAAAAACCTCAAATCTGTAGTGGAGTTGGTCTAATTGAGGAGTTTATGTGAAACAAACAGGAGTCCCCCTTCAATTTGCAATTAGAGCCTCAAAGATTCAAAGAAAGTTGGGGAATAAGCGGGTATTCAGGCTAGAGTTAACAAATTTTGCATTTGTCTATATCTCCAGGCATATATGGATAAAGACCCAAACACTTCCCTAAGATATGCTAAGGTACGACGCTTGCCAGTAACCAAAGATTACTGGCCAAATCATGGGAAATGCCAGAGTTGGACTAACACCTTGTGAGGTATGCCTTGGGCTGCCTAGTTGAGTTAGTTAGGGAACGTTTTGTTGTATTGTTCATGTTGGACTGTGTTTTGGTTGTTAGTAAAAGTTGCATCAACTGTTCTAAAGCCTGGTCTGAAGTTTTTCTAAAGAGATGCATAATGATTCTTGATGCATAAAAGAACTTGGGTCAGTATTGTATAAACGGGGTAGGAAGCAAGTCCACAACAATGGGTTAACTAGGCAAGACAAATGGAGGAAGAATGCAGTTGCTATGGGTAACTAAGTCATGGCGTGAAGTGTACAGTAGCCTGTCATGAAGTGTGGTACCTGGCATGGCAGAGGGTCCTCCGGTAGCAAGGTAGTGAGTGATCTGGCTTCCTCCCCAGTGGTTGGTTTCACAGAGAACCCGGGACTGAACCCACATTACGGAGACTCGTAGCCTAGCTGCATGGTAGAGAGCTGAAAGAGTTAAGTGGGAACATGCATGAGATCCTCAGTATCCCCATTCTGTCACTGGGGGGGAGGTGGTAGAGGTGCACTGGACAGGTGGAGAGGGCATAGGCTCATCAGTGTCCCTCCTAAATGTTACATATTACAAGAAAGGTGTGTAGTGATACAGGGCAGAAGGCTTGTCAGAGGTACTCTGCTTTCCACCCAACTACACATAGTGCATGGCTCACCCCTAAGCCAGGGAAATGCCATAATGTTTGACTTTCACATATCTTTTCCCCGCCTAGTCCTGGGCATTGGTGAGCATCTGCATGGCAAAAGGCAATCCTAAGTGCAGGGCGAGTGGCCCCACCCACAAGTCAATGCTAGACTTCCTTTTGCCAGGTCCTGGAACTGAAGGGCTGAACAGGGAGCAAGGTGAATCAACGCCTACCAGCTCTCAATGACTAAGGGTCCTCCTCTGGTTAAGGTCTCAATGGGGCAGCAAGATAAGCCTATCTAAAAAATCTACTCCCCTATTACTTTATATATCCATAAAGGAACAAAGGATTTGTATCTGATCACAATCTTAACTTGCTGGCCTATAATCGGGTGCAATTGAGCTAGCTATGTGCTGCCCCAGACAGGAAGGAGTTACCCTTAGTTCCTGGGTCTTTCCTTGGGGGGCTTTCTGCTGGGTTCTGCACCCCCCACCTTTTCCTCACTGCGCATATAAATTCAGGAGTGAGGCTTTGCAGAGGGCGTTCTGGCCATATGGGGGGAAGGAAAGATGGCAACTGAAATGTAACCCGATCAGCCAGCAACCATGGGAGGAAGATAGTTGAAATCTTCTGAGGAAGCTGTAACTCCCTGCTATGCTGCTTTTAGGAGCCTGTTATGATGTAAGAGGTCATTAGGACCTGGGGTTCACTCCGAAGATACCAGCACTGTAGGATGCCACCTATGGACCTTTTGCACATGGACTAAACCTTTGCAGATATGCTAGGGCACCGCACAAGCCTGAGTTTAGGTTTAGGGACGTAGGGAAAAATTGTTCTCATGCATTTAGGCTTTGTATGTTTGGAATCTTTCTTAAGTAAAGCATTGAAACTTTGACTTCTGCTCAGTCTGAAATTAAAGGACTGTAATGCAAGTAACTGGCACATTTCTAGAGATTTGAGCCACTAAGCACATGGGGGTATGAAGAGACAGCACTGAGTCATCCTGGTGCCGCACAACAGGTGGTTACCATGGATAACAGAAGTCTACAGTCAGTTAAGCAACCTTTTGGTAGCTTGTACCTGTTACAAGTAGAATGGCCTGTAGCAGCGAGCCAGATGTTGTTAGCATTCCTTCCGCCAGTGTTCTGTCTCCCATAGCAACGGGAGTGGATTTGCGCTGCAGAGGTTCTCATCCTGTACAGAGGTACATAAGCTGAAGAGTCAAGGCAAGTGCATGTGTGGAGTCACACTGAGTGCACAACGGGGCCCTTTTCTAATCCCAGGAGAGATAGTGTAGAACGCTGGACAGGTGGATGTGAACATGGGCTGAGCGTGTCCCTCATAGTTGCAGGTCAACAGTGAAGGTGTACATTGTCACGGCGACCTAGAGTTAACTAGAGGACAGCTGTGGTACAAGTGTACACGGTGTACGTTCATCTCTAAGAGTGGAGGCCCTTAAAATGAGTTAAGGAAGGCCCTGATGACATCAACCATTGAAATAAAGGCCATTACTGATTTCCATTGACTAAACTCATTGGGTGAAACTACAAACAGCAACGTCATCACATACTGGAGGGAGCGGTACAAACGTTCTGAAGAAATCTGTAGTGAATGGTGTCCTGTTCAGTCAAACACTCATATTCTCAGTGCTGGTTGAAACACTACTGCTATAAACATTTTTTATGCTTGTTAGTAGATGCTAATCTTATGTAGGCAGCTACAGTAACATAGATGCAGTGGACATTGCCTTCATAACTGCAGACTGTCCAGTTCCTCCCTCTAGTGCTGCAATACAGACTTTGCATCATATCCTGATCCAAGAAGCAAAGGACCATCTGACCTGTAGTCTTGTTTTCAGCCATAATCGGACTCCTGAGCCTTTCTTTGCCTATATCTCCCAGTAAGCTTCTAATTGGAAGGGGGATTATGGGAAAGGCCATTTATAAAGCTGTTTTTCGGTGGGCCTGCTCTCTTCTTCCTGGGACCTTTCAGTGAGCATCAGAGCTGTTGTCCAGGAGCTGGGGCCTACCAAGACTCTGTGAGCCATAGCTGTCCCTGCATAGGTGAATCTGGTGGTGATTGGTGGACCGCACTGTGGGCACTAACCCGGTTTGCTGTGTTCATATCCAACCAAGCTACCATAGCCATCCTTCTACCTGCTGGTGTACAGACCCTGCATCGCTTCCTGTGTATGCCGACTACCTTCAGGATCTGGTGAGCAGGCTCAAGCCCACACTCAGCATATGGACCATGCATGCAGACATCAAAACCCAGGGTACAAAGGAACGTGCCACTTTTGCTATAGCCACTACTCGCTTGCTGACTGCTTAAACCCCCCTGATAAGTTTGCTTCAATATTACTAAGCTCCAATGTGCCAGCAAAGACTGTGTTCTGACCTGACACTTGGACTACCATGTTGCCCCCCCTGTATGCCTGGATAGGAAGAGTGGTGGGGGAACCCGGCAGAGCAGTGGGGGATCAGGAGAGAGCATGGGGGGGCGGAAAAGAGCTCATGGGGGCCAGAGAGCATGGAGGGAGCAACAGAAAAATTCTGGATAGGAGAAGCCATGAGGGCAGCTGCATATAGAGGTACCAATCTCTCCATGTTCCTTCTCCATCTGCCAGCTGAATGACTGAGGGAGGGAGAGGAGGGGAAGCAAGCATTCAACTGCAGGAGGAACATGAAGAGATCGGTTCCCCTATATGCAGCTGTCCCTGCCGCTTCTCCTATCCAGGATTTTTTTTCTCCCCCCCCCGTGCCCTCTGGGCCCCTTGAGCAATTTCCCAGCCCTCCCATGCTCTCTCCTGGTCATCCTTGTCCTCTCTCCTGCTGACTGCTGCAGGGGATCTGTCAGGAGGAGCCAGTAAATGTGTCATTTTCCGGACCCTTCTTTTTTCTGAATGGAGAGTCAGTGATCCATACCGATCACTGACTCTGTCCGTTCATAGCTGAAACATAGTAAACTGTGTTTGCTATGTTTCAGTTTATAACTAAAGCTCTGTACAGAGCTATTCCTCTCCATTCATTCTGTGCAGTGGAGGCTGCTGAGATGAGGATTGAGGGCTGTGGCCTCAATATCCTTTCTCTGTCTCAAAGGTGAGATATCAGGGGTCTGCTTAGGCCCCTGATATCTCACAAAAGCCCTCAATGGGGCTCCTAAAAAAGTTGTAAAAAATAAAAAACCGGTAAAAAAAAAAAATAACAAAAAAAATAAAATAACAAAAATAAAAAACTACTGACACCAGTGGCAGAACTAGCAGGGTCACAAAGGTCACACTTGTGACCGGGCACTGGGGTTCCGGCACCCAGGTTCAGAGGGAAGGGGACCCGCCGAGGTTCAGGGGGGCACCTTCATTGTCCCTTGCACCATTACGCCACTGCCCTAGATACAATATAGATAAGGTTTTATGAAACATTGATTGTTATGTTGGAGACATCATTAGTCACTTTATTAGGTACACCTGTTCAATTGCTTGGTAACACCAATTGCTAATCAGCCAATTACATGTTAGCAGCTCAATGCATTTAGGCAACTAGACGTGGTGAGGACGAGTTGCTGAAGTTCAAACCAAACATAAGAATGAGGAAGAAAGGGGATTTAAATGACTTTGAATGTGGCAAGGTTGTTGGTGCCAGACGGCCTGATCTGAATATTTCAAAAGCTGCTGACCTACTCGGATTTTCACACACAACGATCTTTAGGGTTTACAGAGAATGGTCCGATAAAGAGAAAATATCCAGTGAGCGGCAGTTGTGTGGATGAAAATACCTTGTTGATCTCAGAGGTCAGAGGAAAATGGGCAGACTGGTTCGAGATGATAGAAAGGCAACAGTAACTCATGTCAATATGTACCAAAATCTCTGAGGACTGTTTCCGGTGTTGATAATAAAGTGACCGGTGAGTGCATTTGATTGTAAAATGTACATCTTCATTCACTTTAATTAATGAAGTTTTGTAAGATATTTACATTTTATTTACCATTTGTGGAACATAGTAGATTTATTAAAATTAAATGTCTACTCAACTTACAGTACAACAAAAGGAAAAACACTTTTTTAGTTTTGGATAAAGTGGAGGTTTATTAGAACACGTCAGTTTTTATTGCTGTCTGTGCTTCTGTTAGAGAGATTCACCATCTGTATTTGTCATGTTTGCCATTATCATTGAAAGTAAAAGAAAATCCTAAATTTTTGGTTGTCCCCAGTTCAGTAATAACAGGGAAATCTTCCAATGGGGACACTAGTTCTGACGACCTGGGGGTCCCCAATGGATTCCCTTAATATGCAGGAATTTCCTCTCGCTTTCTGTTTTGGCTATGGGACAGTAAGTGAAGGGAATTCTTCCCAATGGGACACAAAGGGTATAAAAGAAACTGACAGGGGTTATTACCTTCCCTTACTGTATCCAAAATTAAAAAAAAAAGATTTGCCTATTTATTAGTGATAATCACTAAGAACCTTTTTTTCTTTTTTTCCAGCATTGACATGTATGTTGATGGAAACAGTGACTTAATGGCACTCTTGCTAGCAATGCCCTTCCTGAAAGAAGATGAAAAAGAAGCAAAAAGATCTTATTAATCAAAGAGCTTCAAAAAGATATTTTCCAGTTTTTGAAAAAGTATGATTATTTTTTAACAATGGTCTGCAATGATAATGCATAGAATTGGATGTCTAGCCATGATGGATTAGAAATCTAGAAAAAACTGTCACCTTACAATGTCCTGATCACTACACCTTGCCTGCACCCTCTATGTTCAAGGTGTTAAGTGAAAACACTCCCATCTTAACATACTGAAGACAGAACCTACAGATCATGAATGCTTTAAGAACTGCAGTATATAAAGTTGAAAATACCAGAGGTGCTGTATGGTTTCATTATTTTTCACTTTTTTGGGGGTGGAGCACTGGCACACTTGGTCAATTTTGTCCCCCTGCCCAAACTAAAAGTTAAGGGCATTCTTCTAGCTTGTCTCGATTCAAGCACCATCCACCTACTTATTTGAGGGGTTTCACTTGGTATGCTTCTCTCCCAGCTGCTTTTTGCCTCAGACGTTTGATGATGGTGTCATAAGCAGTATGGTATTGGGTATCATACAAACCCAGGAGCCTACCGCAGTGGGATTGAGTGTGTTGCATGACCAAACCAAAACTATGCAAAAAGATAAAGCTGGCCACATACTAGTTAGATTTAATTTGATATTTGCCCTTGTAAGAACATTTGTTTGATTTTCTAACCACTATTGGGGTCAAATTGTTTTTTTTCGACCACAGTGACACAAGATAATTTGAAGGTGCAGGATGGAAAATCTTTCATGAAGAATTTACAACAGTGAATGTGGGTTTTGTTCAGGAAAGTCTATTCATTCCAAAATCAAATGTTAAAAGCAAACAAAATTTTGAAGTACTTTCGAACATTTATCATGTCATCGAATGTACTGAGGATTTCTAACAATGTATGTAGTTTTCATTCGTAAAGTCTAGGATGGCATAGCTCATTCTCCAAAAACCTTTGCAAAGATAACACAAGCAAATGTATGCAACTGCCCGATCTACACTTTTTTCCTTGGGTCAGCTATTAGCTTCCCATGGTTTCCAATACCATTTCTATGCTGATGACACACAAATCTATCTCTCTACTCCTCAGCTCACCCCATCAGTTTCCACACGTATAACCCATTTACTAACAGACATATAAGACTGGATGTCACTCCACTTCCTAAAACTCAATCTATACAAAACTGAGCTCATAATATTTCCTCCCCCACATGCCTCTTCCCCTGATTTCTCGGTCAGGATCAGTAGCACCACTGTCAACCCATCCCTGCATGCCAATGTGCTAGGGGTAACCCTGGATTCTGAACTATCCTTTCAGGCCCACATCTAATCCCTGTCCAAAGCATGCCGCCACAACCTCTGCAACATCTCCAGAATACGCCCCTTTTTAACCAATGATACTACAAAGCTCCTAATTCACTCCCTGGTTATCTCCCGCCTCGACTACTGCAACTCCCTCCTCATTGGCTTACCTTTACATAGGCTATCCCCCCTCCAGTCCATCATGAATACTGCTGCCAAGCTCATCCACCTTACCAACTGTTCAGTGTCTGCTACCCCTCTCTGCTAATCCCTCCACTGGCTTCCACTCACTGAACGAATAAAATTCAAAATGCTAACAACAACTTACAAAACCATCCACAACTCTGCCCCCAACTACTTCACCATCCTGATCTCAAAATATCAACCAAACTGCTCGCTTCGATCCTCCCAAGACCTTCTGTTCTCTAGTTCCCGTTTCACCTCCTCCCATGCTGGCCTACAGGACTTCTCCCATCCTATGGAACTCCCTACCCCAATCTGTTTGGCTATGTCATAATCTATCCACCTTTGGATGATCCCTGAAAACCTTTCTCTTTAAAGAAGTCTATCCTGCTTCTACCGAGTAAAGTGCCATTTATTTCCTCCATCAGCTCATCCCCCCACAGCTATTACCTTTTGTATCACTCAACTCTTCCTCCTAGATTGTAAGCTCTAACGACCAGGGCCTTCTGTTTCCTCTTGTACCAAATTGTATTGTAACTGTAATGTCTACCTTCATTTGGCGCTATATAAATCCTGTATAATAATAATAACTGGCCATCGTGCTGCTCTAGATCAATACTCTGAGGCACAGATTAATAAGAGAAATGATGGTATTCTTATTTCATTACTCAGTTCTTAAACTTTCAAGCCCTCAAATGGCTGGTGTCATAGTTGATCACATATGCAGCACTATGGCCACTGCAGATCACAGGCCTAAGATGGCACTGTCCATAGCCATAAAGGACCGTTTTAAAACCCACTGAACGCTCAAAGCCTAACACCATGTTTAAAGTTATGGCCCAAATGAACTATTTACTGCACTAACAGATGCACTTGCTGGGTGCACTGAATTAACTGTTCGTAGCCTCAGCTAGGTGATGGTTATCAGACAGACGGAATTTAACCACTTCACTTCTGCCCGTAGTTTATAGGCGGCAGACGGAAAGCTGTGTTGATGGGGACTAATGTACCTGTATGTTGCCCGCATCAGCGGCTCCTGTGCTGCTCACAGAGTGCACACCTGGGAGTCCAGCAATCAGTATGTCGCCCGGACACAGCGGATCACATTACCACTGTGTCCAGATGGTCACATGATGTTTTACCATGTGATTGCTGTGTTCAATCACAGCAATCACATAGTAAACAGTGAAAGTGTAAAGATCGGCTCTTTCTGCTCTCACGATGAGAGCAGGGAGAACCAATGCTGCAGCCTGTGAGTGTACAGAAGCCTGTCAGACTGCTTATACACTCACAGACTGCTGTTCCAGCCACCCCAATGTCCCAATCACTGCCTCAGTGTCCCTGATCACTGCCCCACAATAATAAAAAATGCATCCTGATCATCGCCATGCCCCATACCATCATCCTGATCACCCCATATGCCATACGAGCATCCTGATCACTGTCATACGTCATACCAACATCTGGCATTTTAGGGTCTCAACTGATCAATTTTCAAATATATATTCCATAGTTTGTAGACTTGAAAGCTTTCACACAGACTAAATAATATACACTATTTTGGGTTATTTTTACCTCAAAAATGTAGCAGAATACATTTTGGCCTAAGTGAAAAAACATTTTTTGCAAAAATTTCTAACAAAAACTAAGCAAAAATTTTTTTCTTAATTTTTATTATTTTTCATTTATATAACAAAAAACCCCCAGTGGTGATCAAATACCACCAAAAGAAAGCTCTATCTCAAAATGCTAAAAATTTTGTAGTGTTGCATGACTGCGCATCTGTCACTGAAAGTGTCATAGTGCTGAAAGCAGAAAAGTGTCCTGGACTGGAAGGGGGTGAAAGTGTCTTGAAGTGGTTAAAAGACATAAGGGTTGATTTACTTAAACTGGAGAGTGCATTATCTGGTGCAGCTCTGCACATAGAAACCAATCAGCTTCCAGATGTTATTGCCAATTGCTTATTTGAACAAGCTGAAGTTAGAAGTGGATTGGCTACCATGCTCATCTGCATCGGATTCTGAGTTTTAGTAAATCCCCCCAATATTCTAAGCACATCTACATGCTCCAGATGAGTGGCTGGCAACCAACAGAGCTGCGGCTTCATGTCTGCTCTGACAGCCACTGCTGTCAAACCATTCTCCAGCATGTCCACTCTTCACTTCATCTGCCCCACGGCTGACACTAAAAGCACACTGCGCATGCCAACTACCTTCTAGCTGCTAGAAAGCAAGTGATTGGCCATGCATGTGTAGTGCACACTCCATACTAGCTATGGGCAGTAGGAGAGAGGGGACAGAGAACGGTGCAGGACCCTTGCCCTGGTATCTAGAAGAACCTGTCTTGGCACTGGCTACACATGCCTAAAAACAACTTCATGAAAGTAAACAGGACGCATATAACATGTCCTGTCCTTTTCCCCCCACTGTCGCTCCCCCTGCCATGTTTGGTGATTTCCTCTCTTCTGACATATTGTCATATTTGTTACTTTTGTATTTACTCTGCTCCATTCATCTGCAAATCAGTGGGGCGAGCTTTAATCTGTATATGATGTCACCTAAAATAGAATTAAAGACAAAACTTCTAAGTTTTTTTTTTTATTTCAGATAGAGTAAGGGAGGGTTGTGACTCCTGTCAGTTTTCATTTTGCCATCTGTGTCCCATTAGGGAGATTTCCCATCACTTCCTGTCTCATAGCCAAAAATTGAAAGGAAATTAGGGAATCTCGTGCCCCCCCCCACGTTGTCGGAACTAGTGTTCCCATTGGAAGATTTCCCCTCTAATCCTGTTCTGTTGCAACTCAAAATTAGGATTTTTTTTTTGCACTTTGACGTTTGATGATAACAGTAAATTGGACAAATGGAAAGGGTGAAGCTCCCAAACAAAGACAGCAATAAAAACCTGGCAGACAGTCCAATGCCTCTACACTCTATCCAAAACAAAAAAACTTTAAAGGAACTTGACAAGTAAAAAAACAAAACAAAACTCTTTTTTAAATATTTTTTTCCTATTTATTGTAAGCCCTTGTTAACCCTTAGTTTACCATATTCAGCCCTACATAAATTTTTCTTCCTTTCTTCACTATACTTTGTATACATTAACAGTACAGTAACTTTTTTAAAAAATAAAACTGATCAAAATAGAAGTAAAGTTCTTTTATATGGTTTTATTAAGTTTTGTGTTTATAAGCTGCAGTAAATTTAAATAATATTTGCATTACAGGATCATCAAAATAAGCTGTATTTGTTGTAAAAAAAATATAATTCCTATTACTTTAATATCTTATGTAATAACAAAGTTATTACCGAATACATAGGCCCATGGCAGAAATGTAAAAATTGCTCTGGTCCATAGGTGGTGTACAGGTGTGAGATTTGAAGTGGTCAAAAGTTAGTATTTGTGTTTAAAGGTCCATGCACACTAGGGGCAGAAAAAATGGCAGAACTTCTTGCAGAAAATACGGTTAAAAAAATGCTCTTAATGGCCCGTATTGCACAAATGTTTGTGATGGTTATGGGCATTTGCTTTTATAAGTGTTTTTTTTTCCAAAACATTCCCCTCTGCTCATTTTTCACATTTGAAAATGCTGAATGCTTCTCAACGCCGTGTTTAGGAGTGGCAAACGTTTTTTTCTGCCCAAAAGCTCCTCCCAAAAACACACTTGTGATTTATTTTTTTTTGCCTTAAAACACTCCTCTGCAAATATGTCTCTAAACACCCAAATGTGCATTGACAGATAGACTAATATAGATTTGCTTATACAGGCTGAAGAAAAAAAATGTCAAAAGCTTGTATAAACAGAAATGTTATGCCCTTATAACTTAAAATAAAAAGCTGACAAAAAGTAAATTATGTGTTGACCTTTATGATTGTAGTTACCATTTTTATTGTGTTATTAATCTACACTTTTAGGCTTTGCAAAATCAGAAATATTTAGTTGGAGAAAACTTCAGTTTTGCAGATGTGAGTCTTGTGGAAACCATTTTAGCAGTGAAGGAGATGCATCCTAATATCCTGCAACACTTTCCTAATTTACAGGTAAACACATTATATAACTTACAAGGATGTTTATGCCATTTTTTATTAAACTGGTACAAATGGATTCTTACAGTTGCTGGTAAACTTGGTTTGATTAATTCTACTGTCTGATGGCTGCATGACAATATAGATTTTATATTTTTAAACGGATGGCTCTACAAATATGCTCTGGAGGGAGTGAAATGCGTTGGGATTGAAGGAACAGTTTGTGCACTGGTCATTCAAATAAATGTACAGTATGTGAGGCTTTTAAATAAAGAGCTGCTTCTGTCTAAAAGGGGAATATAGATTTTATATTGCTCAAATAGACGTTATGTTCTGGTATAACCTTAGAACATAATAATAATTAATGCTTGGTAATTTTGTGTACCGTTATGAAATAAATTGGTAGAAAAGAGTTTACAAATAGTAACATTTCTCTCTTTTTATTCTTGGTTACTAATATACTACATGACCACCACAGCTGAATCTCAATTCTTTATGGAAATTACCATTGTGCACTATGCTTCCAGTAGTCACCATGGGATTTTTTTATATGAACTTTGTGGTTGTTATTTTCTATATCTTATTTTGTTGTGCTGATGTCTTCCTATGATAACTTTTTAATTATAGGAGCAATGATTTTTTATATGTTGTATTATTTTATTCTTCAGGGTTTCAAAGCAAGAATGTGTGAGATGCCAACAATTAAGAAGTTCCTAGCGCCAGGGAGTCAAAAAAAGCCTGTTGCTGATGAAGCATATGTAAACACCGTAAAGAAAGTCTTGTCGTTGTGATATGGACAAGAAATCTTGGCACTCTGTCTTAATACAAAATACAATTTGATTGATATGTGAACAAAAATAAAATTTTGCATTGTAGTTTATATTTCAGAGTTTTCAATTAAACAGTTTATGGAAATACTTTATTCTTTATTCTGCTTTTTAAAACATTAAACTAACAGTCCTATCACAGTTTATACATCTCCTTTGTCTGCATCCTCAGAGTACCAACTATAAATTTAATTGAATGTGAAAAAAAAAAATTTTCAAGATTTTTTTTCTTTGAGATTGATATGTTTAGATGTTTGGCAAAATTGCTGAGCCTCTGAAAAGGCATCTGCATTCAGATTACTTTTCAGAGGTGTTGACAGGCAGTGAGGAGGGTGATATGTTGCCTCCTCACCACCTGTTTTAACCCCGTAAATACTGCAACTGCATTCATTGCACGTGGTTGCAGCATGGTCCCATTCCACCGAATTCGGCAGGTCGGATCATTTTTGCTGCTTCCCTGAAGTGAAACACTCCAGCTGCGGCATGTAAACACTCCTCTCAACTGCCACTGCAGCTTATGAAGGGGCAGTTGGGGTGTGGTAAAACATGGCTTAACCACCTGTTTTTTACCACCTCCCAACCGCATGTGCAAAAAACCCAGAGTTATTAATTAGTGTCCATATCATGTTACACATGTATTGTTGTTTGGCCACACAGCAATAACACAATGGCAGCGAAGATGTCCAGTGCATCCCTTCAATAATTAACCAACAGTACAAATAAATGGCACACACCCCAATCTATAACTTGCCTTTGCAGGAAGGAGCACACGGAAAGGCGACGCATGTCAAACAACATCAAAGAAAAATTCCCAGCTCACTTACCAGCCAGCCTGAAACAAACCGAATTGTCATGTCCAACAGTTCGTTAAAACCAGGGGTTTGCACATATATGTGTAAGCTGCACAGCCACTTCACGGCACCCCAGTGTACTGTAGTCCTAACTCTAAAAAATTTTAAGCGAGCCTCCAACGTTGGAGCACATACTGTATATAACAATGGATATTCATTATTATATATGTGCTCCAACATTGGAGGCTCTCAAAGTTTACTTGTTAGGACTACAGTACACTTGGGTACCATGAAGTGGTCTGGCAGGACAATACGGTTTGTTGCAGGCTGGCTGGAAAGTGAGCAGGGAATTTTTCTTTGCTGTAGTTTGACATGCGTCACCTTTCCATGTTGCTACAAAGGCCAGGAAAATTTGGTTTGTTGCAAGCTGGCTGGTAAGTGAGCTGGGAATTTTTCTTTGTTGTTGTTTGCAACAAGGAGCACATGGAAGGGCGACACATGTCAAAGAACAGATATAGATTTGGGTGGCTGCCATTTTGCTTTGCACATATCTCCCTCCAAACCTCCACAGCCATCATTCCCTCCCCTTCCCCCTTTCCTCGGCTTCCTTGCATCTCTCCTACCTTGCCCAACCGTAGAACCATCCTGTGTAGGTGGCTATCTCCCTTCATAGGTGGCTCAAGTAGCCGTGTATTCAGCTTTCCCTCGTCTGACAGTTCTGTCAGATTCAGGAACTCTGGCCCAGCAGTGCCCCACGTTGAGTGCCTGTGGTGATCTGTAAGAATAGATCCAGGAGCTTCCGAGAGCAAAGCTGTCACCATAAACACAGAAATTTTACAGTGGGAAACAGAGCGTGAGAGCCTGAGCTGGTGAAAGCCTCAAAACTGTGAGGTCCACATTCCATGGCCTGGCGGGCCTTGTATTTGCCCACATGTGTTCAATGTAGTTAGTCCTACCCTTCTTCTTCGTGCATTTATCACATGTACTGTATTCTGCTGGAGCTAGACATACACATGACATGGCCTGGCGGGCCTTGTATTTGCCATATGTGTTCTATGTAGCTAGTCCCACTCTTCTTCTTCGTGCTTTAGCCTGCATTAATCACATGTACTGTATTCTTCTGGAGCTAGACAGACTATGATTTTTTACCTTTTTCTGCAATCTGCAAGATGTCATTTGGATTTAGTCACTGTCTGCTAAATCTACTAAGACTGTAAGTACAGCTATAACTGGATTAGTTATAGAAATCACACTTGGAGTGCTTAGACTGCGGAAAGAGAAGAAAAAAAAGTCTTTATAGCTCAAGCAAAAAAGTCTTTATAGCTCCAGTAAAAAATCATCTATAGCTGTAGAATACACTGTGAAATGTGATATCACCCTGGATATACAGTATTTTAGGACGATGCAGCCATTGTCATACAGGCCTGCACATGCCTGCAAGCTAATCACAGACAGACAAGACAGCAATATTTCAGTGTTTTTCTAATGCAGCTGTGTTACTCAAGACAAGCTGTGCATTTATACAGTAGAAGCTGCTTCCATTACTACATGCCATCCTGATTTTTGCGTATATTATCTTCTCAAACAAGTGAGACAGGAAACAGGCTGTGCTCTACAAACAGACACGAAGCTAGGCAGCTGATGCATGCCTCAGAGGCTGCCATCATTCATGGTTGGCACAATGTTACAGCAAAACATTACATTTTCTGTGGAAGTTAAAACACAGCAAGAACCAGAATTCTTTTTCAGAGCAGGAACTACGCAGGCAAGGTAAACCCTACATTTAACCAAATTAGAAGGTTGAGCCTGGGTTCACACTGATGCGGTTCGGAATTTGCAGCGTTTTCTGCGTAAATTCCTCACCGCATCAGAATCGCACCCCTTTCATGTGAACCGCTGCGGGTGTGTATGTTAAGTTAACAACACCCCGAAATTGGTCCGCAAAACGTGATGCGATATGCAGAATTGGACCGCATAGGTGTGAATACCCATGTGATCCGATTCTAGAGCGGACCAAAAAAAGGGTCCTGCACGATTTTGGTGTGGGTGCAGTACGATTAGAGCCATACAAAATGTATGTCTCCAATCGCACCGCACACAAATAGCATGTGATTTGCACAGGAATGCAGTACGGTTCCTGTGAAAATCACATGCGATATACCGCACCGCATATATGTGAACCCACTCAACAGAGTTTTAAGGCTGAGAAGAAGAACCGTTAGTTAACCGCTTCCCCGCCGCCCTATAGAAGAAATACTGCTACAGGGTGGCAGGGGTCTGCAAAATCACGTATATATATATATATATATACATATATATATATACAGTTGCAAGAAAAAGTATGTGAACCCCTTGGGATTACGTGGAGTTTTGCATGAATTGGGGCATAAAATGTGCTCTGAACGTCATCTAAGTCACAACAATAGATGAACACAGTCTGCTGAACATAATACTACACAAACATTAGATGTTGCCATGGTTTAATTGCACATAACATGTAAACATTCACAGTGCAGGGAGGAAAAAGTATGTGAACCTTTGGACTTAATAACTGGTTGACCCTCCTTTGGCAGCAATAACCTCAACCAAATGTTTCGTGTAGTTGCAGATCAGACCTACACAACGATCTGGAGTAATTTTGGACCACTCCTCTTCACAAAATTGTTTCAGTGTAGCAATGTTCTTGGGATGTCGGGTGTGAATCGCTCTCTTAAGGTCATGCCACAGCATTTCAATCGGGTTGAGGTCAGGACTCTGACTGGGCCACTCCAGAAGGCGTATTCTGTGCTGTTGCAGCCATTGTTTTGTTGAGTTACTTTTTTGCTTTGGGTCATTGTCCTGTTGCATCACCCATCCTCTACGAGGCTTCAGTTGGCGGACAGATGGTCTTACGTTTTCCTGCAAAATGTCTTGATAAACTCTGGAATTCATTTTCCCATCAATGACAACAATCCGTCCAGGCCCTGAGGCAGCAAAGCAGCCCCAAACCATGATGCTCCCTCCGCCATGTTTTACAGTGGGGATGAGGTTTTGATGTTGGTGTGCTGTGCCTTTTTTTTTCTCCACACATAGTGTTGTGTGTTCTTCCCAAACAACTCAATCTTGGTTTCATCTGTCCACAGTATATTTTGCCAGTTGTGCTGTGGAACATCCAGGTGCTCTTTTGCAAACTTCAAATGTGCTGCAATATTCTTTTTTGGACAGCAATGGCTTCCTCCGTGGTGTCCTCCCATGTACTCCATTCTTGTTTAATGTTTTCCTTATTGTAGATGTGTCAACAAAAATGTTAGCATGTGCCAGAGATTTCTGTAGGTCTTTAGCTGACACTCTGGGATTCTTCTTTACCTCATGCAGCATTCTGCGCTGTGCTCTTGCAGTCATTTTTACAGGACGGCCACGCCTAGGGAGAGTAGCAACAGTGCTATACTTTCTCCATTTGTAGACAGTCTGTCTTACTGTGGACACATGAAATCAAGGCTTTTGGAGATACTTTTGTAACCCTTTCCAGCTTCATGCAAGTCAACAATTCTTGATCGTAGGTCTTCTGAGAGCTCTTTTCTGCGAGGCATGGTTCACATCAGACAGTGCTTCTTGAAACCAGTAAACCCAAAACAGGTGTGTGTTTTTTAAGGGCAGGACAGCTGTCAGCAACACATCCAATATCATCACACTGATTGGAGTCAAGGTTGGCTCACTCTTGGCTCCAATTAGCTCTAGGAGAAGTCATTAAGCTAGGGCCTCACATACTTTTTCCTCCCTGCACTGTGAATGTTTACATGTTATGTGCAATTAAACCATGGCAACATCTAATGTTTGTGTAGTAGTATTATGTTCAGCAGACTGTGTTCTTCTATTGTTGTGACTTAGATGACGTTCAGAGCACATTTTATGCCCAATTCATGCAAAACTCCACGCAATCCCAAGGGGTTCACATACTTTTTTCTTGCAACTGTATATATATATACAGTGGGGCAAAAAAGTATTAAGTCAGCCACCAATTGTGCAAGTTCTCCCACTTAAAAAGATGAGAGAGGCCTGTAATTGGCTATGATGCAGGTAGACCTCAACTATGAGAGGCAAAATGAGAAAATAAAACTAGACAATCACATTGGCTGATTTGGAAAGAATTTATTTGCAAATTATGGTGGAAAATAAGTATTTGGTCAATATCAA